GCCACCCATGTGTCGAGCCCCTTACAGTCTTGCAAGCTGTCTTCTGGGGGACCTCCGCAGTTGGGACGGGATCCGATCCCACTTCTGACGCCATGTAATATCCTCAGATATCTCTTATTTAGGAATGACACGCTCACCACTCTGTTACTTAGATGTTACTTTATTAGAACCACTCCGGGGACCACATTTACAGTAACACACATTTGTCTGTCCGTTATATTCATCCTACCTTAACAACTCCATTTATCCTTACATCTGCTCCTGTTACAGTTTGCAGCCGCAAACGAAATGTCAGCAAGGTAAAGAAAAAACCTTGTCTGTGCTTAAAAAAGAACCAAAAATGGAATTTGAAGACAACCACTGCAAGAACATACAAAAGACATGATGGAAATGTTCACTCATTCACTCATGGCATTATGGTCATTTAATGTAATTTCCTTCATACATAATTATGTGTCAAGTGCTGCACACATTTTCATAATGAAGTGACTAAACGGAGGTGGAGGACTGAGTTGAAACTTAAAATGATAATTTTGAGAATTAATTTCTGAAATAGCAGCAAAAACAAGAAATCTACTAAATAAATAAGCATAAAAAATAACCCTGATAGATTAACTTTGACTATTTTGTAAACCGTTTCTTGTGTTTAGTTTTGACTTCTGAGGCTGCAACTTGTTTTGCAGCACGGTGTGTTTCTGTAGTAGAATAATGGAAATGTTTTCTTCATTTGCATAGCAAGGATATGGCTGCACTTATTTCATCAGCCAGTTTACCCACAGTGGCATTGCTCATCAACAAACAGAAAATATAAAACAGGAGGTTTTAGGTAGACTGTTTTCCTATGACTTCAGCATTTTTACACTGATTTTGCCCTCTGAATTGAGAGTTTTCACACATATTTTCCTATTATTTCAGAGTTATTAGATTGATTTTGCTCGGTGGGTTATAAGCTTTATGAAACATTTGGACACATTTAACTTTTATGGTTCAGAGGTTTTTCTACACATTTTATTCCATCTTTTTTTTTTGTCCAAATCTGAGTAATAAAATAAACTTTTTAAAATATTCCACGTTACGCAACCCAGAGTTGGTTACATCTTACGTGGCTGACAATATAGATGAATTTTGGATTCTGATAATAAAGAAACCAATAGATGCATAAACTGCCTAGAAAACTACATCTACATAAATCCAGATGTTTGCTTCTGGAATGACAGCTGCCAAAATCAGTGACCCATTGGGCCACAAAATCCAGAAGTCAGTCTGATATTTAGTTAAACTCTCTGTGTGATTTCTCGTTAAACAAAAATAAAAAGTAAACTTTTATTTTATTCACAAGCTGTTTTACTTGAAAACAAATAAAAACCTTTTTAAAAATCTTATTTGTGATTATAATCAGTCATTCTGAGTTTTTCATGCAGACTGAACATGAAAATTGTCTCCTGCATCTATCTCCTGCATTAGCTCCTGATAGCAAATAGATGGTGAAACTCTAGGGCTTCAGAAGCCTGACAGATCTGCTTCACACTGTCACTTAACATTCACGACGGGAATGCTGTTGGTTTAGCGTCCAGGAAAACAGAAACAGAAGGGAAGGTCTTGACTAGTAGAAGCTAACCTGTAGCATTAGCTACTCCACCACACGGCTGAAGCTCTTTAAGTAATATGTGGAAATAAAACATCTACGTTGCAAAGCAGAGTCAGTGTTAGAATCGCATCGCTATTATTAAAGCTGGGGTGAGATGTCCAAATATCAGGACATCTCAGGAAATAGAAGCTCAGCTGTGAAGTGGCTCACGTCTAGCTCCTGGAAATGTTGCACCTGTCCCCCACCCCCGAGTATGACTTACAAAGCCTTTATTCCTACTAGAGACCACTGCACATGTATTGATTAAGGAAGTGTTCCATGCCTTTGACAAGCTAGATTGTGATATTTAACATTTTCTGAAGGAAAAATTCTCAATCAAAATGAATATTTTCTGCTTCAAATACTTTAAGAGAAAGGATTTTGTTTAAGCATGAGTCTTAAATTCTGGCATGAAGGATGTGACTGCATGACTTCAATGCCACGATCCATTCATCCTGTTGTGACTGTGATGAAAAAACCAGAACAGAAACATTCTCTGAGTTTGTCGTGGACTCGTTTAAAATTCAAACGCAGCTCCTCAGCCCCTTTCTAATTAAATGCAACGTGGCTCGTTGCGTTCAACAGTAACTAGCTGAGATGAATGCCACTGAGAAGAAACAAAACATAGGCTCCCTCCAGAGACAGGTTAGACCAGACCTGCTCGATAAAGCTGCTCCGCCTACATCGCCGCGTCCACAGGGACCAGGGGAGAGCAATCGAAGAAAAGTGAGGGATTGAACAGAGGAGTCTGCTTCACCTGATTGAGCAGATGGACTGAGGCACACAGTTTCATCATAATAACAGCAGGCTCTTTAGAAGGGAAACCATACTAGATTTTTTAAACCCCCTTTCTTCCTTCTCATTCACTTTTAGGTTTCCAGAAGCTTTATTTACTCTAAAATCTCCGCTTAAAACTCTGAATTATAAATGTCTAAGAACAGTAATAATCTCAGAGATGGTGTGGGATTCAGCTTGGAACACATGAGGAAATAGTTGTTACATAACCAGACAAAGTATTTGAACGACTGGAGCAGAAAGACTCATTATTTTATTCAGGGATAGAAAATTACCCAGCAGCAATGTAGGTGATTTTAGCTCATTATGAGGTGAAATTGGTTTGCTGTTCAAATGTAAGGAGTTGTTGCTTCTATTCTCGTAAAATAAGAGGTGGTCACTCATCATTAGGCCATGTACACACGTAGTCAGGTCTTTGTAAAACCAAATATCAATATACCCTGCTGATCAAGAAAAAAAACTTTGGTCCACACCACTTTGTTTTCAGAAAAGCATCCAGTGCATTGTGAAGTAGGTATGCTAAGCCTGTAGGTGGCAGTAGTTCCCCTAATTGTCTGTATCTTTGCTGAAAAACATTCAGACATTTATCGTGTCATCTTTTGCCTGCGAGCAGTAGTTGACCTTGTAAAAACAAGCGAGTTAAGCCATAGATTGTTTATATAGTGGACGGAACCTCTGCGCTGTCACCCTCTGGTTTCTGAAAGGCTGAACTGAAGCCTAGTGGGCGGTTTCCACCACCGCCATCTTGGCCATGTCATAAATGTCGTTACTCCCTGAGAATACAAAAATGGGGATGAGAGCAGGAATCTGAGGGCAGGGGCAGATGAATGACACCCAACCAAATCTGAGTTCGATGAGCTAATTGAGCTAACCCAGGGGTCGGCAACCTGTTCCCATCAAAGAGCCATTATTACCCATTTCCCACAGTAAAGAAAACACTGGGAGCCACAGCAGCCGTGGCGTTGTGGGCGGGGCCTACCCTCAGACAGCAGAGAGCTGCTTTAACCAATCACAACAGGTGACAGCAGCCAGTACCGGTCGCTCGTGTACGTCAAAGTTATCTTTCATAAGAAGATAATCAGTAAAACGATTTATATAAAGTGGATCCAGAAGTTGTAGCCCGTCTCTGCTACAATATTTTGATATTTTTCACCCTGTTGGTGGTTTTACTGAGCAGGTGCCACTTTTGTCATACGTTTCTTTTTAAAACATGTTTAGACTGTTCAGAATACAAATCCAGGCTCTGTCACATTTGATTGTTGTAATTAAACTTTGTAGGTGGGGAAGGTCAGAAAAGGATCCGATCAGTTTGTTTTTCCCTCATTTACAGTGACGGAGATAACGGCGCAGTGCTCCTGGCTCTGGTGTTAATCAAGTTTAATTTGATCTATTTTCACAAGAAAACAGAACAGTTAAAAGCAGGGCTTGTGTTGTGTTGACCGGACAGTTCCCATATTTGACCGTTTATTTTGACGGAGAAAGAATAGAAAGAATTACCCCGACGCATGCAGACGAACTGACATTTTATTTGTTACGCACATCACAGATTTAGCCAAATCACTCAAAAGATTCCCATCTGAACATCTGAGCTGGACACTGCTCAGCGCAGCTCGCTGTCAGCGCGTACGTATGGTGCACAGCGAGCTGAAGATGTGGAGAGGGGCTTGGAGCGCGTCGCAGAACCAAAGCGCATGCAGGAAGATTCCTCCGACTGAAGCGAGACTTGTCACTTAGAAAATGTTCCCTGATTATGAAACTTTGGCTGAATAGCGCTTGTTTCTGTCTCCAATGTGGCGTCGCATCCTTGAGCCTGTCTGAGGAGAATCCCAGAATCTCACATCCTCTTCAGCTCAGAAATCGCCTATGATTACGCACAAGCGTGACGCGTCAACCCAGCCTCACAGTAAGACCGGGTTGGAACTGTTCAGGTTTACGCAGACAATCTTTACGTTTAGAATTGACATACAGATGTAAAATTAATGCAGTAAAATATAAAGCATTTTATTTAAATATCCATTCATTATTTTACAAGCACAGAGAGCCGCATCAGATGGATGGAAGAGCCGCATGCGGCTCCAGAGCCGCGGGTTGCCGACCCCCGAGCTAACCGAAGCCAATATAGTTAGTTATTGTAGTTAATGTAGTAGCAACTCTGCTACCCATAGCGTCTGGGCTGTAACACTGTTAATGTGAGGCTGAGGCAAGTTGCTATCACAGGCGTTGACAGCCATCTGACACGTGTCATTCAAAAGACATGCCATTAGTCACAATTTTAAGCTTTAATGACATCTAAATGGATGAGTTACAAAGAAATTCACTCCCATCAGAGTTGTCATGACTATAAACTTGACCTATTAAACCTAAAATGTTTTTTGATGCCAGGCTGTAAACTTGTATATTTCTGCTGTGAAGGTGGCATTTCTAACATGGGAGTCAATGGGAACTTGCTCCTTTCTGGATCCAGCCCCTAGTGGATGAGGGTGGAACTGCAGATATTTGTCACTTGCTTGTTAGCTAAACTTTTTTTTACCATTATGACTTAATATGACATAGAGCCTTGTAATCTTTCCTCTCTCAGATGTTCCAGTGGCTTTGACCGCCTTCGTCAGGACTGGGTGGATAACAACTGTCCAGACGAGGTGAGCACTCAGTAAAATTTTGTTCCTCATCCAGATGTTTTTTTTTTAAGTTTAACCTATTTGACTTCTTCTTTCAGACCAAAGACAAACTGTGTGATATTGTTGATTCTACACATCTCTACCCCTTCGGCACCCCTATCGCTTCCAAAACAACTCAGAGGAGTAAAGATGCCTTCGGAGGAAGGGATGTTCCCTCCACCTCTCAGCCTCCCACCAGTGCCCCCACTGAGGGTAAAGTAGCACACAGATCTGGAATTAGTTTTAGGTGTACCCACTTTTATGATCTGACTGCATTTGGAGGATGCACAGAAATCAGCTGTGGTTCTCAGCTTCTCCTAAAATTATTCTGGATGTGATGAAGTGGTGATGCACCAGCTGTATTCAGAAATCTGCAGTCACGCTGTTCAGCTCTGCTGGTTCTCTCCCAGTGAGTTTAAGAGTATACTCATCCCACTGTTGCTGCACCCACCACTTCATATGTCAAGTGCTATCAAGAAAATGATTAGGATGAGTTAAACATTTCTATGTGTGCAAATAGCTCAAAGTGAGCCACAGTCACTGGGTTTCAGGGTTCAAGTGTTTTTAGTTTTTGTCATTTTGTTGTTTAGTCTTTTACTTACGTTCTTTGTTAGTTTTAGGGATTGTTTTTTGTTTTAGGTTTTTTTCTTACGTGAAACTTTTTGGTTGTGTGTGTATTTCATCATTCATCTTTGAAAAATATAAATCTGTCCTCATAACACGTATCACACAACATCCTCCTGAGTGGACCAGCAAAAATCTGAACTGGTCACTATATACAGCTGAAATCCTTCAAGTTCATATAAACTCCAATTGCTTGTGGTGTTCCCCAAGGTTGTGTTCTGGGGCACCTTCTGTTTATCATTAGTCTTGTCACATTTAGTCAGATATTTGTCTCTGTAGGTTCAGTATTAACTTCCACTACTACACAGATGACACTCCGCTCTACAGGACTACCATTCCCTCTCAAGCATAGTTTGTGCTTCTGCATCAGCATCACGAGGGCAAGACGCACATGCACTGTCGGAGATGTTTTGTCTTCGGACTGCCCCATCAGTACATTAAAGGACGTATCACTTTTCTGGGGTATCCTGTCATGCATTCAGTCCAAGATTGGGCATAACCTTTGGGTTTATATTGTGTTTTTTTGTATTTCAGAGACTTTTTAACTTGGACAAATGTGTTCCTCATTCTCCTCCAACTCTTCATGAGCTCGCCAATTCTAAACACACGTTTCCTGTCATTTCCACTCACACATAAAAGGCTCGCTGCATATATTTATACACCTCCAGTCACGGGTGAATAAAACATTTACATTTTCAGTTTTTCCGTGAGGTATTCTTCAATCTGCTCCATGTCTTCTGCTAGATATCTTTGGCTCCCTTTTCTTATTTTTCGAGGGTGCAATGGCGTTGCTGTTGACGTAAGTAGCGTCCTGACCAATCACAAGCTTGTGCTCACCATCTCGTTCGACGGGTGTTTAAACTGGGCTCGACTATGTCTGTCCTCGTGAGTCTGCTGGAGAGCCCTTGCAAAGACAGATAATGGCATTACGTGTCTCTGCACCGACACAGAAGCATAAACTGGGCTTTACTCCCCTTTCTGATTTTCCTGAATTACATTTTTTAGCTAGGGTCTTTTATAATAACAATAATAATAAACGTCCACAAATCTATTATAAAGTGATCCTGCATTGTGGAAGAAATGAAACTATCGGAAATATCCTTTTATATAAAACAGTAGTTCTCTTTGTATCTAAAGTTAAAAGCAAAAATCAGAAAGATGTCTCCTTTTTGTTGTACGATAATGAATTCATGACACCTCAGCAGGAAACAAAAACCAAGCTGCAGATTTTTCTCAGTTATCAAATGCAAATCTTCTGTGAAAGCAGCTGATGCCATACTTTTACTGAGGACGGGGAAAGTGTCAAGGTGTCCTCTGAAGTTTGTGTACTTGAGTCTCCTGCAGAACTTATGTTATTGTACCCATTTTCATGTCATTTCCTTTTTTGTGCTTTTTTAGCAATTAAGTTCAGCAGACAGGAAATTTAAGTCCGACACATGTGGTTGTTGTAAAATCAAAATTGTTTAAAGGGCCCACTTCTCTTGTCAACATGGAAACTTGGTGTTCAGCCTAAACTAAGAGCGCACTAATGTTTTACTTGATGCTTTTTTCTGTGTTTTTTCTGTTTTTGAGTTAATGGACCACATTTTTTAATCCTCTCATGGGTTTTAAATGCTTTCAGGATGTGAGGCAGCAAGTATGACGGATAAATCCGAAGTATTTTAGTGTATCTGACCGAAAAAGAGTCAATTCATTCAACTATATAATTTATGGTAATATTATGATCATTAATATAGAAAGATCCAAAGTGTTCAAATGAAGGCAACTGGACTTCATCTAATCAAAACAACCATTCCAACACAACAGGACCTAACAAAATCAAGGACTCCTTGGGGGTTGGGAGGAGGGGTATTCACAAGTAGTTTCAGCTTGTTACGCAGCTCTTGACAGCTACAGTGTACAAGCACGATTTTCCCATATCCCAGTCAGAGTTGACAGAGCTCCTTGGATGAGAAGCAGTGACTGAGAACCCTCACCAGCATATCATAGATGAATGTTGAGGGTTAGAGTCAGATCTGGATTATAGTTGACATGAGTTAACAAGAAAATATTTTGTTTTATCTCTTACTAAATCAAATAAACCGCTATTGTCATAACTCGCTACTGGGTTATATGGGTGGGTCATCACGGTGGGGGTTAATGTGTGTAAAAACTCTCCAGCTGAGAGGATAAACAAGAAGAGGAGTCTTAAACAGGGCGTGGTGGATGACTAACTGGGCAGAAGAGTATGCATGGGTGTGTGTTAGAATCCAGGAGGTTTTGGTGTTGTTTTGACCGGCTGATGTACAGAAGATCAGTTTCCCCAAACATCACTTGTCTCCTCAGCTGCAGGGGTCAGAGGTCAGAGTGCAGGCTGGGTGGATTAGGCTCATGCTGGCAAACTGATTTATCTACCTCATGTTTTATGTTTTTATTTTATTCTCTAAGAACTCAGTATATGGGAGGCTGCTCTTCAGCTGCATTTGAAATGAGATTCGGTCCACAGCTCTCTATTTGTCTTTGGGAACGACTCCTAGAGGAATTTACGTGTGCATTTGTGGACAAGAAACACATTTCAACCAAGCCAAGATTAAAAATATGCTAATACATAAATGAAGAATGTAGTCTATGTGCTAAATGTCTCATTTAATTGTAATGGGAAACATATTTTAACAAAACATAACCACATTTACCTTGTTGTTAAATAAAGGCATCTTGGTGTTTAATGTCGTGAATCTAAAGTCTCCTCCATGTCCGACTTGCTTTCCTGTGTAAATAAGTAACATTGTAAAGGCCACTGAGACAGTTGGTTCTGAGAAAAGCTGGTTTGACACATCATAAACTATGAAACATCTAAATTTGCATGTCTTAACCCACTTAAACATCAGTTTCAGATAAATGTTGGTCACAGTAACCACAATAAAGAGCTAGTCCGAGCTATGGCTAATGCTAGTCTGAGTTACTGCTAACGCTAGCCTGAACTACTGCTAACGCTATCCTGAGATTTACTGCTAACGCCAACCTGAGCTACTGCTAATGCTAGCCTGAGCTACTGCTAATGACCCAGTTGGACAAAAGAAATGGTAAAATAGCCTGTATTTGATATAGCGCCTTCTAGAATCCTGGAACCCCCCAAGGCGCTTTATAACACAATCAGTGATTCACCCATTCACACACACATTCACACACTGGTGGGGATGAGCTACAATGTAGCCACAGCTGCCCGGGGCGCACTGACAAAGGCAAGGCTGCCGAGCACTGGCGCCACCGGTCCCTCCGACCACCACCAGCAGGCAACGTGGGTTAAGTGTCTTGCCCAAGGACACAACGACAGCGACAGACTGAGCGGGACTCGAACCTGCAACCTTCCAATTACGGGGCGAGCACTTAACTCCTGTGGCACCGTCGCCCCAAAAGAAAAACAACAACGAAGAATGTTGGAGCACTACTCACATACCAGGATGTACTGAGAGTATGCAGACTATGAATAAATACCAAATATTTCTGAATTGACAACTCTGACATTTCTGAAGATTAAAGTCTAGAAAAAAATGTAGATTTTTTTAACATGTAAACCCCTGTTTTCCTGAAAAGTACAAAGCCTCTTTAACAATTCAACAAGCCGACTTGGATTAATCAATTATCTACATTCACTATCTTGGTTATATTTCAGTATCTCTAATGATTCATTATAAAACCTAAAATTGATTCCTCTCATCTCTGAATTAGAAACTCTTTCTTTTTTCTTCTTTTTCGTTTGACTCCATTTAAGGAAATAGATCAGGTGTAAAAAGTGCCAGATCTGCATAATGTGGATGGCATGGTGTGTAAGTGTCATCTCCCCTTCAAGGAGAAGTGGGCCGTGCTTCATTTCCATATTTCACACATCTCTTTAACCCCAGACTGATTTTATGTGTTGAATTATTGACGCACAGCTATAATATTTACTTATATACATTTTTAGTCGGTGTAGTAAGTGAAGATGGTGCACTAATGAAAGAAGCTGTAATCTCATTTGGGACCTTCGGGGGGGGAGTTTATTTTGTTAACAACTACAAAGAGAAAAACTGATCATGTGTCTGACTCTATGTCTCATTTACAGATGACACCAAGATTGCGCTTCATCTCAGAGACAACCAGGGTAAGTTTTTACCGAAGCTAGACATCAAACCTCTGGCTCCTGATGTAATCCCTGTGGAGATCCCAGATGGTCTTTTATATTTACTTAGTTTAGACCAGATGTTCATCATAAACCATTATTATTGATCTCAGAGATTAGTTCCTTAGACCGCTGCAGAAAAAGAAACTGGGACATTAAAAATGAAAAAATAATTCTAATTTTTCTTATGAACCTTTTTGTTTGACCTAATTTCAACCCCTTTCTGACTTTCTTCTCCATTCTTCTGCAAACCCTAAAAGGGACACTTGCTTCTTTATCTGTATCTTAAAGCATTTCTTTCTTTTCTTTTGTAATATTTGCTCAAACAGTTTGAGAAATAACCCTATTTTTCAGCATTTAAGCGAACCTAAAATAATCCTTATTTTAACAAACTTGCATCACAGCCAGGGCAGAATAGCAAACCCGACACCGGCTGCTGTTTGAAAATTACTCGTTTGTGTTTTTCATTCAGTTTAAATGTTCAAATATCCAAAAATGCTGAAACAAATTTGAGTTTCATCAGTTTGCGACAATAGCTTTTCTAACGTTTCATTTCCTGCTTGAGAGGACTTTGAAATCCGTGACTTCGATCAGAATTTTCATTACACAAACGCTCCATGTCCCCCATCGGTCGAGCTCTCCTGCTTTGGTGCCTGGCCCTCTGATGATATCTCTGCTATTTTTTTTTTCCTTTTGTCATCTCATACTTGCCTGTGATGTTATTCAAGGTGAAAAGGATCAGTGAGGCGGGCAGGTGGCTCGAGTGCTGCCAGTGATTGGAGCAGCGCTCTCGTCACAAAGAGACTCGGTAATAGGTCGGCTCAGTTTGGGCTGATGGGTTCTCTAAATTTTTGTTCCTATTGCAAACACTTTGCATATTTTAGTGGATTAACCCTCCCACTGTCCTAATGGGTGTGACCCCACGAAGAAAGTTGACCATTGAGCAGGGTTGATGGTTTATCCCTTGAGGTCCACGTGGCAGGGGTGAGGAGCGAGCACTACCTCACCCCTGCCACGTGGACCCAAGGGATAAACCATCAACCCTGCTCAATGGTCAACTTTCTTCGTGGGGTCACACCCATTAGGACAGTGGGAGGGTTAAATGTAGCTGATAGGACAAAATAAGCAATCAGACTAATTGATTTGTAAATCGTAAATGTAATCTGATGTAGTACAGTATTTCAGAAAACTGTTGTAACCAGGGATTGAATTATGGGGAAGCTAAGGGGAGCCCGGCTCACTCTCAACTTACACACCCAGGGGAGCCTGAAAAAAGACATTTGCGGGAAGTGGCTTTTTGTCAAGAAATGAGCAGATAGAGGTACTTCTTCTTCTACCTTTTTAACGGTATAGGATGGACTGCCCAGTTTCATTGCACAATGTGTGTGTGTGTGTGTGTGGCAGTTCACTGTTTTAGGAAGCAGTCTTTTGGGGGCTGCATCATGTCATTGCATCTTTCGGCGGAAGCTTACAGCTGTGCTTTGTCATAAGGTAGTCCCAAGTCTAAAACGGCACCTTGATTATTTTCACTTGTAGTCACTTTAATTATTTAGCTCACCAAGCAGAATTAGGATCACTATTGAGTCATTTTAATGACTTTGTTCACACTCGAGGCTAGTTGGAACCATTCACTTACATTGTTTTATGCTAAGCTATGCTAAAGGAGTCATTGCGGATCAGGAGAACTGCAAATAGTTTTCCTACTTATCCATGAGGAATATAGAAACAGACAGAGTTTACACTGGGAGTGGAATATCACTTTAAGCATCCTGCTGCCGATTCGGCTGATGTTACTGCAAACCAATAACCTGTGGTGTTTTGGCTTTGAGCAGAAGCAGAAGATGATTCTGAGATTGAATAATTGGAGGAAAAGATAAGATTTCTTGGTGTAAAACAAAAACGTCAGAATCTGTTGTTTTTGTCTGAGCTAATTATCCATGCAGCATTATCATTATTCCTCAGTCAGTGTGAGCACATAATGGCTATACATCCAGAGTGGCTGCTCTCGCTCATTGAGCAGGTTTGAATGGGTTGTTTCTGTGCGGTGGAAATCAATGAGGCGGGGAGCCGGGGGAGAGGCTGGTTGGCTGACAAGCTCGGTGCTGCCTACAGCTGCTAATTAACAGCAGAAAGAAGCCCGAGGAGAGGTTGTCAGGGGGGCAAGAGAAAAAAAAACATGAGATATGAATGGATGTCAAACTGTAGGCTGAAATGCAGATTATTCTGTTAGTTTCATGGTTGCTGAATTCTGTTTTCTTGCAGGATTATGAGATTTTCTTTTCCGTATTTAACCCTTTGATGCATGAATTATGAAATCTTCAACCATGATTTTTTAAACAATTTTTTCATTCATCTTTAGGTGTGAATGAAACAAATTTCATATTTACATATTTTTGTAACATTTAATTTACACATAGTTTATTACATGTCCACCTCAGTGGACAGCGTGCATTCTGAACATGAAATATGTTGACTTGACTTACTGAAGTTGAAATGGAGGGGCTCAAATGCAATAAAGTCTTCAACAGCTGTGCTTAACAGCAAAAATAAATAAATAACAATTTTGAGTACCTGTCCACCGTAGTGACCATTATGCATCAAAGGGTTAAGGTTTTAAGTCTGGCTGGAAATTTGCAGCTGAACCTTCTAATGCATTAAAACGGTGAGCAGGTTTCATCATTTTAAAGCTCTGCTGGGTAAAATTTGATGATCAAGCACAAGTCTGAAGTGCTTCACCGACTTATCGGGGTTTCCAGGCTTGCAGACGTTTATCGTCTTGTTGCTGCTGTTTTCGGTCCAGCATTCTGACGGCGGCAGTAGGATTACATCAGACCTGCTTCCTTCTCTTATCAGAACCGTGCACGGTTAACCTTTCAGTGGGATTAACTCTTTACTCACATGTTGTAGGCGAACACTGCTCTTGAATAACTAAAGACTTGTGAACCTCAAATAACCCTTAGAATGAATAAATTGTCTTATTTAAAGCACGAAAAAGATATTAGATCTTCTATTTTGAGCATCGAAGAGGTAAATGAGAATATTGGAGTAACGTTACTGTATCAGAACAGATTAGAGTCAACCATACCCTAGGGTTTTACCATAACCCTAAAAAATGTTTACATTAAAAAGTTTTAAAAACTTTAATTTAAAAGTAAATATTGCTATTGATAGCTGAAGAGTGACCCCTGGTGGTGACTTAAAGAACTCCATTAAAAGAAAGAAAACATGAAATCAAAGCATTTTAATCATAGTGATAGAATTGTTCTATGTGTGTGTTTTTCAGCGATGCCAGCTGACAGTGCCGTCAACAGGGTGCCAGGCACACACTTTCTGCACACTGGTCTGATCCTGGGCATCCTGCTGGTGATGCTCGTCATGATTGCCGGCGTGCTGATCACCGTCTACGTGTACCATCACCCAACATCTGCAGCCAGCCTCTTTCTCATCGAGGTGAGCTAGAGTGAAAAAAGGTTGGGATGGCCCTCAAATAAACTGAAATGCTAAGTAAATACCATTAACTAAGTAAATATGTTCATTTCCAGCATTTATACAAAAAATTATACAAGAATGGTTGTTGAAGGAGACTTTTTGAACTGTGTTTTATTCCACTGACTCATAAATATGCATTAAGATCATCAGATGTGGGATGATGGAACCTGATAAAACACTTTATTAATGATTTGTTGAAAGGCTCAGAGGATGAGAGGCTCTCTCTGCTCAGAAAGTAGTGATTTTTAAAAATCTAAAGAAATCAGCTGTTCTGGGTTATCATCCTGTTGGCCAAAACACAAGAGTCAATCCAAAATCTAAATTTAGCCACATCCTTCTGTGAAAATGATTTAAAAAATGCTGTTAATGTGGAGGGATGGAGTTGGGGACACAAAAATTTCCACGTGCAGTCCGACTAAATTCATACGTATGTCAGTTTTTGGAATTGAAACACTTGAGTGGCATTAGCTCAGATCTGCAACTATTTTGGCTGCTTTGTTGTAAAAAAAAAATCCATCTATCCATCGATAGGTGGATTGGTGCTGCGTCTGCAGAGATGCAGGTGTTGCAGTGGTGAAGAGAGAGCTGAGCCAGAAGGCAAAGCTCTCCATTTACCGGTTGATCTACATTCCAACTCTCACCTATGGTCACGAGCTTTGGGTGAGAACGAGATCACAGATACAAGTGGCAAAACTTAGTTTCCATACAGAAGGGGCTCCGTCACATCAGGAGAAACCAGTTGATGTGGCCTCCCTGCTGGTGAGGTTTTCTGGGCATGTCCAACTGGGAGGAGACCCAAAGGAAGACCCAGGAAATGCTGGAAGGACTATGTTTCTCAGCTGGCCAGGGAACGCCTTGGGATTCCCCCAGAGGAGCTGCTCTAAGTGGCTGGGGAGAGGGAAGGGAATGGATGGATAGATGGAAAGTTTCATTCAGGTCGCTACCCTTTCCCAAAGTTGTCTCATTTACTTTTTGACTAAATGTTAATAAATTGAGACAAACCAGGCAGGTTCCAGATTCTCAAATTGGCTAAATTGACATTTTGATCAAAACATTAGGAAAGTCTGACATTTTGATTAATAAAATGATAAAATTATAAGGTTTTTTTTTTGCGTTTGTGCCACGTGCAAAAGTAATTTTGTGTCTTGAGCGACTGACACAGCCTGATAACTGCACAGATTTCAGATATTCATGACCTCCGGTTTTAACCCTCACCCGTGTTTTCTACTGCAGAGACGCCCGAGCAGATGGCCGGCCATGAAGTTTCGCCGCGGGTCGGGTCACCCAGCCTACGCGGAGGTGGAGCCGGTTGGCCAGGAGAAGGAGAAGGAGGTCTTCATTGTGTCTGAGCAGTGCTGAGTGCTTCATGCCCACACCCCCCACCCCACCGCGTGAACCCTCCTGCTCAACGGGGACGTCTCACTTTTCACCTTTGTTAAAACCGGATTTGGCCTGTTTATGCAGACGCTAACCAGCTCCTGGTGTAGAAGAGCTGAGCTGCTGGGGGTCAAGGGTTAAGAGCGCTGATGTCACTGAATCATCTGGCTTTGACACACCTCCCCATGGAGGGACAGGACTGACTGCCTTCACTGGTTGTTTGTGTCTAGACAAGGACATATACAACATATATTTTCAGAACCGATACCTGAACAGAGATTTCCACATGCAGGTTTTTGGGGTTAGATAGCATAAGCCTTTGTATATCCATCAGGGTTGTTTTTATTTTATTCCAGGATGGAGTTTTTGTTTGGTTTTGTTTTTGGAGAGTTGGTGTTGGCACATGCATCTGTACAGATAATGCTGTTCAATACTGTAGCAGGCGTAATTGACTTTTCCACAGCTCACTCTGTGCATGCAGGCTGCAGCTGTGTGGCGTGACGTGCAGTCGCTTTAATCAATCACAGCTCAGAAAAAAACAGCATTCAATATTGATTTAAGTTTCTTTCAATGAAGTGTTTGATTTAATGTTGTTATTTGCCTTTATAGGTGATGGGAACACTACACTTTTTGTTTTTTTTACTGTGGTGCCATTTTGTTCCTTATTAGACTTTGCACAGGTTTTTTGGATGCACATTTCCTCCCTTCCCCGAATCGTGTTCAGGCACTGTTGCAAATTTACAAGACAGGCGCTTGTGTGTGAATTTATTTTTTCTGAAGTGTAAATGATTCATGTGTGTGAATGCAGAAGAGCAGTTAACAGTAGTGAATGGCTTTATGGGTGATTGTTTGAGCTGGCTCTGCACAGTTGACTCCTAAAGATTACATGTTAAAAAATATGGAACCTAATAAGTGACAAGTAGAGAGTTACAGAGATCAAGGAAATCTTTCAGTGCACAGATTTGTATAATTTTTTTAGAACATTAATTGTTGGATTTGTTGAATTTATGTAAAGCAGGACAAATCTGTTTCTCTCAGGATCAATTAAAACAATCCATTCTCCTGATACAAAAAAGCATTATGTAAAACAAAAATTCAGGAGGATTTATAACGTAAAAATATTAGAATAATTAATTTTAAAGTGTGCTTAAATTAAACTATTTGTTGTTTTGAAATACAGTCTGTCTCTAGGGATGCACCGATCAGGTTTTTTGCTGCCGATCACCGATACCGATATCAAAGAATGCTGATCACCGATACCGATCACGTGGATTGGCCAGAAATTTTCTACAACATTATAATGAGTGCTACAAACTACATAATCTGGGAATAAAGGAAATGAAACCTAATCTAAAATGGTCTGTATTAGGGTTGTCACGGTGTGAAAATTTAACCTCACGGTTATTGTGACCAAAATTGCCACGGTTTTCGGTATTATCGCGGTATTTTTCTTAAACGTGCTACATTTTCACACAATTAAATAAACCCTGTATGTCAGGAAATATTGTGCTCAGTTTGTGTCTAAATTTTGCCTAAAATGTGTTATTTTGTAATTATGTTGTTTATTTGTTTACATTTTTCCCTTTAGTCTTTAAAATACCAATATTTGCCCATAACTTCTTATTTTATGTCTGTTTGATGTCATAATTTTAAAAATATTAGATCAGATGATACTCAGTACTCAAGTAGCCTTCTAATCAGATACTTTTTTACCCTTACTTGAGTAATAAACCCTATATCAGGAAAATATTGTCCTTGGTTTGTGTCCTTCCAGTGAGCTTTGCAGATTTGGGAAAATGTCATCAGGCAGTAATCATTGTTAAATTCATAATTATTCTCGGAGAGAGACCAACTCTTATCTGCCCCTGGGAGCCCCGTAATGCATAGCGTCATTTCAACATGGCGGTGTCCGCGACACGGTTTATATGCAGGTAGCGGCGCTGCGGCTGAATTATATAGTGACTCGTTGCATTCTCCCTCAATCCAAATCCTCGGATCACGCATTTTAGCTAAAACGCTAACGTTAGCTTGCCTTGCGTTGACTGTAGAGTTGTGGGTGATGGTCACGCAGATGTGTCATGAGATTTGAAGCATTGCTGCCTTTCACAGACACTTTTTCTGCACGTGCTGCAAACAGGATAGCCGTCTTCTATCAACTGTCCCTCGGCATTCTTCAAATATCCAAAAGATGCCCGTACTTCCAACTTTGTCTTCTTTGAGGGATAATAAATGTCCTCCTGAGCACTGCCGTCTCCTCCTTTGGCCATTATTTCAGCTTTAGCTTCAAGAAAGTTTTGGTTGTTAACAACAAAGCACGCATGTGCCGCCAGCAACTTCAGCAGATGATACGGTGGCTGGTAAGGGTCACCGCGCCTACACCGCAGCCACGGTAATCCACCGAGATAATATTTTTTTTAAAAACAAGACGGTTATTATTATTGTCAACTTTTTTTTTACCGGGGTTTACCGCTACACCGGTTACCGTGACAACCCTACCTGATCGGTCTGCTTTGATCTATTTTGAAAACTCCGATCAAAACCGATAGGGGCGCTATCGGCCGATTGGGATCAAATGCCGATCCATCGGTGCATCCCTATCTGTCACTGAGTTTTACACGCGTGCAGAACATGAAAATGGTTTTCAGTCCTCATCACCAGCATTAGCCGCTGAAAGTAAATAGACGGGATAATGCTTGGGTAAGAAATAGCCACAGATCTTTGCAATGTTAAAAATTAGCATTCACGGACTCACCCACCCTGGCTGGCGACCGCGGAAAGCCATTGAATCGGCAGCCAGGAGAGAGCAGAGCACATCTTGGTTAGTAGAAGCTAAACGTTAGCATTAGCAACTCCACAACATGGTAGAACACATTCAGGCTGAGTAAATAATGTTTTTTAGTATGGTTTAATTTTACAGATTTTTTTTTTAGTTTAGAACTTTTGCAAACAACACCTTCTACATAAGAAACATGTCGCAGGATTTCCTCGATCTCTGTTTTTACTTCTACATTTGGCCCTTTCTGGGCTCCATACTTCTATTTCACGTGGGCCAGAAAACACGCTGGTTGGAGTTGTGATTTTCACAGTTTGGTTTATTTTCTCTGTCACGTAGAGAGTTCATCCATGCCGGCACAAAGTTGTACATACCAAGCCAAAACATTTGGAGATTCAGGTAACTCAAATCGTTGGAAAATCTATTGTAAGGCGCTGATTATACTGATTAACATTTTTTTCTTTTTACATGAGTGGCCTTTTTCTCTACTTTTGTACTTAAATGTGAATGCTGTTGTAGCTGTCACAATCCAAACGCTTGTTTCTGTAGTTCAGCATTTACAGATCAAATCATGTTTGACACCAGTGATTCAGCTTTGAGACTCTAAAGATTAATATTCTGGAATTCTGCAGTTTTGCATTTGTTCAGAACACAAAATAAACATAAATGACTTTATTTGTACTCGCACCCATCACATTGAAACCAAAGACTAATCAGCATATGAGTTTGATATATTTTTATGTACTCTAGCTTCCTCACAGCCTCCACACCTCACTTACCGCTAAGATTTAATTTCATGCTAGCCTAGCTTTCATTTTAATATAGACTGTGTAGCAGTCACACAAATCAGCTAACCCCCCCCCCCCCCCCCCCCCCCGTTCATCATTAATCTGAATTTACTACTTGAGGCACCACAAATCTCTGACGAAGGGTAAAATGTGAGTTTTAACCGTTAGCAAAGCGGCTAACAAGCTTTGCAAATTAAAGAGCAGCCTTTTTTGTCTCTCAAAAAGTCTTAATGACTCTCAAAATCACATTATATTTGAGTTTTTGTTTGCATTTTTAAAAAATATATATACTTTGCAGCCACATCATTAAATTTAGTATTTGTACTCACCAGTTAGCTCTCCCAACAATATTGATTAGAGCCAGAATATAAATATCTGCATAGTCTACAAGTAGAAAATTTATCAAATTTTTTTTAAAATGCTTGTTGGCTTAAAATCATGAACTCGCCCATCTCTACTCCACAACAGAGAAGGCTGAAACTGTCTCTGCTAGTAGAAGCTAACTGTTTGCATTAGCAACTTCACCACATAGCAGAACTCTGTCAGGCTTGCGTTTGTGGAAATAAAAATCCACATTGCAAGTCTGTGATAGTCGCTTTGCTGTTATCCAGTTTGAGGCGAAATGTCCAAATATCAGTAAATAAGACTCCAAATCCTGCTGTCTGAAGCTCCGCTGCAATGTGGCTCTCTTCTAGTTCCTGGAAATGGTGCACCAGTGTTTTGTTTCCACAGACTACCACTTACAAGACACTCATACCTACTAGAGACCATTGCAAATGTATTGATTAAATGAATGTTACACAGTTTTAATGAGATAAATATAAAATTGGTCTTTGCATTTTTTCAACAAAAATGTACAAATGTTGCCAATTCAGCAAATCGCACAAGGTGTTACAAAACTAATGAAGGTAGCAAACATTGTTTTTTTAATTCTCCATAACAAGACCCAAAGATACAAAAAACGCACCAAAAACTAAGCAAATCAAAACAGTTAGTCTTATCACACATTTCTTTGAGTACAAACCCCTAATATATAATAAAGTAGTACTTTTGCACAAAGCTGTTTAAATTTTAATGCCAACAATTTTTTCAGTTTCTACGGTTTAAAAGCAGCTGCAGGATTGAAAGCACATGTATGAGAGCTGAAAACACTTGATCTCATAGAAAAAGTCAGACATTAGTTTTATTCCCACTTTTACTCAAATGTTCTTAAAATTAGGAGAATGTTGATCAGTTGCAGATGCAGTGTCCTGTTATTTGCTCTTTTTTTGTAGTTAGAATAAACAATTATAAACCACAAATTCATCTAAATATACAGAGTATCCATTTAAAGAAACAAGAATTTGACTTTTTTTTGTAAATCAAATCTTGTTTTATGCATCCGTGGTGTACAAAAATGCTCTAAACTACTCTTTAGGTCTGTGTAAATTATGTAACTACTGTTTTTGATTACATTTGAAATAAACAGTGTTGTTAAAAAAAGTCCCACTTGGTGTTTTTGTTCAACAATTATAGTTTTAACCCTCCCAGTCTTTATGGGTGACCTTGCGAGGAAAGTTGACCATTGAGCAGGGTTGATGGTTTATCCCTTGAGGTCCACGTGGCAGGGGTGAGGTGGTGCTCACTCCTCACCCCTGCCACGCGGACCCAAGGGATAAACCATCAACCCAGCTTAATGGTCAACTTTCCTCGCAGGGTCACACCCATTAGGACAGTGGGAGGGTTAAGCAAAAAATATAAAATTCATTAATAAGCATTCCCACAGAACCATTAAGATGTTTTAGGCATTAACATTGCTCCCATATTTTTGTTTAAAAATGCATAGAAAACATTTGAGGTTTTTGCTACCCAGTTAACATTTCCTCCCATTATGTTCCTCTTTAAATTATTAACAGGTTATTAATGAAAATATGAAAACAAGTCATGTTTTATGTCTGTTTTTCCTTTATTCATGTAAGAAGTTAAGCTGCTGCAAGAATAAAATGTATTTTTGCCTTATACTGCCACCTAGTGGCCACTTCCTGTCTCAGTATCAGCTTTTTGAATATCAAAAAATGGGTTCCACATTGTTCCAAACTAGGACAAACATGCCTGTGTGAGCGGGAGGATTACAGGAGAACAGCTGCCTGACGTCAAAGCCTTGTTGGGTTTTTCATCCAGCTGTTGTCATAACGACACTGACTGAAAAAAGGATCTTGATTTTATGGAGCGAAGGAACGCCAGCGGTTTGTTTATCAGAAACCAACTTACAGCTGATGTTTGGAATGGGGCAGAGCCAAAAGGAGGAAAACTGAAGGGGCGTGTTCATAGGAATCAGAGCTGTGTGAACAGCTGATTCACCAGATCCAGTTGTGACTTGTGTGGATAAGTTTATGACGCACATCGAAGGAAACACGCAGAGAACGGATGGAAGATTTAGGAAGGAAATGAGTTGATATTATGGTGAATTGACCAATCTGAGACCTTAAACCAACTCGCTAGTGGATAAACAACCTCTGGTTTCATGTTGGCAAGAATCTGGCAATACGATATATATCACGATACACTGGAGGCAATACGATATATTGCGATTCTAAAAGCCAGACGATATTGGAAACTTTTAAGACTGAATTTAATTTAATTTAATTGGAGCTGAATGTTACAGAACACAAATAGTTTCACCTGATTTTTGTTGTTATTTTAGCTTTTGATAAGTTTAAACGTAAATGCATGTGTTTAATTATTTTTATATTTGAAATGCCGGCAAAGTATATTCTTGATATTGACTTATGCTCACAAGCAGCATAAAGAAAACCACGGAGGACGTTTATCTGTGTTTATTTTTGCCTAAAACAAAAGATTTGATCCACTATTACAGTAATAAAGAAAAACAATTCTTGAACATGTGGCTTTAGTCTCCCGTCGGTGGTGTTATTCTGTACAGAAGCAGACTTTTCTAAAACATTCCCACTGGCTTCATTTAGATTAAGCATAAAAATAATCCATTTCAAACAAACACACCCATGATATTTATAGAACTAACTGCTTTACAACATGACAATATTCAGTTTTGGTCACAACAAAAGGAAATTATTTTAAAAATCAAAGTTACAGTGTTAGTGAAGCAGCGTGGTTCTGGTCTGCTTAAAGAGCAAGTCACCCCTACCAGATTCTTTATCAACTCTCACTTCCTGTTTGAAAAATGCAACAAATGCTGTTGCCTAGCAGAGAGAGAGGGCGGAGCCGCTAACAAATACACACACACACAGGCTCACAACGGCATTGTGACATCATAATGTACCAGTTTACATCATAGCATACCTCTTAGCCAACAGCGGTGGCAGATTTAAATTCCAATGCAGTGCAGAGTTTTTACCCGACGACGGTGCAACACTGACAGTTTTAGGCAGAACATTTAAATTTTAACTAAAATGCAGTGAAGTACCAAGTTATTGACCACACATGTCTGCAGCACGATTAGACACACATTTATATAGTTTATCAGCAAAAAAAAGTTGATTTGGGGGTGACTTGCTCTTTAAGCTATGGAGTGCTGAATCTAAAAACAATAAAGGTGTAACAGCTAATGTATTTGTATTTAATATTTTAAAAATACCTCCTGAATTCATTCAAATAAAAACATGTTAGATAATTGATTTTTTAAATAAATACACCAAAACACGCCGATTTCCACATTCAGTAACTTTTTGTTACAACTTTGTCTTGTTGCGTAAATGGTTCCGACGTTTAAAAACCCCTTCAGTGACGTCATCGTATGCTGTTTTTATTGGTTTATCCTTGAGTGGTTGTGAAAACAGGAAGAGAGCATTTTGAAGTAAATGACTAATTTAGAAAAGTCTCATATTGTAAAATCGCTGCTTCAGATCAACCGTTTGTAACTAGAAGCAATAATGACATTGAAGATGAGAAAAAGGTGCATCTGTTTACAAAGTCTCAGTATGTAACTGTTAAAGAGAAGAAATAATAAAAAAGCAAGATCCTGTGTGTTTGAGGGCATTTAAGTATTAAAACTAAATGATTGTTTGGTTTAAAATAATTAGAAAATTTGTTTTAACCCTTTGATGCATAATTGTCAGTACAGTGGACAGGTACTCAAAATTGTTATTTATTTTTGCTATATAGCACAGCTGTTGAAGTCTGTTGCATTTGAGCCCCTCCATTTGGACTTCAGTTAGTCAAGCCAACATATTTCATGTTCAGAATTCACGCTGTCCACTGAGGTGGACATGTAATAAACTATGTGTAACTTAAATGTTACAAATAAATATGAAATTTGTTACATTCACACCTAAAGATGAATGAAAAAAATTGTTCAAAAAAATCATGGTTGAAGATTTCATAATTCATGCATCAAAGGGTTAATGTTGCCTCAGCGAAAAATGTATTGACCCAAATGTATGTTTGTTTTATTTGAACGGCTCAATTTAATCAATTTAAAAGTTTGCCTAACAAATGAGAACATTTTATTAAAACTCTTCGCTGTTTATGTTCAGTTGAAAATGATGAGCTTCAATGATATTCTTCAGCGTTTTCCTGTGGTAAAGTTATAAATTATTTCCCTTAGCTGTTGAAAAGGTTTGAAATAAAATTTATGAATACATGAACTGTTTGAACATTTTAGAGGTTAGACTGAAATACACATGAGCCCTGACTGTGCTTGGACTAGCCATTAGCTTATCAGTCCCAGGGGACACCTAAACCAGGGGTCTACAACCTTTAACAACTTAAACAAACATTCACTGTAGAACCACAAAGTTCTCTAACAGGACCTTTTGGATAAATATCTACAGAAGAGGATTAGGGCCAACAGAAACAATAAAAAAGTAAATACTTCTCAGACTAACGTGAGAATTCAGAGATTTAAAAAGAGGACTTTCTAGATTCATAATTTTAAACTCAAACACAATTAAAATTTGTCCTGAAAATAATAAATGTAAGTGTACATTGTGTCCAAATGTTTTCAGACATCTGAAGGTGATCTTAAAGGAGATGACAGGGTCTCACATTTATAGTCAAAAATGACAGGTTTAAGAAACTATTTCACGAAAATCTCAGAGAATCTGTCTCAGTTATGAATAAAGGACATAACTCCTTGATAACAGCTCAGATGAATCAAAAGTAGTGAATAAACATCAGTGTGGTGTGTGGCTGATTATCTGACCAGCTGATTGAGTAAGTAGCGATGAAGCAGCTTGGAACGGAGGTGATCTACTGATAACAGGTTTTCCTCTCAAGAGTCCTTGATGATATTGAACTATAACCAGTTGATTAGGATTGATTTGATGTTTAAATGTAATTCTACACATTTTAATTTACAGAAATGCCTCTTCACCTGCAGACAGTCACTCACTTCCTGTCTGCTCCGTGCTTTTTGACAGAGCGAGTCCAGAGTTCTGTTTGGGCCGGGCCCCCAGCTCCTGCACATCTCTGGCTGGATTCTGGTTCTCATCCAGCGGTTTATTCTCCACCTCTGGATTAAAGTGCCCCCCCTCCTTTACCACCAACCTCTCTACCTTTTCAATCAAGCGTCCCACCTGGGGATGCTCCCCAAATATAGAGTTGTTAATAACAAAGTACCTATTCTTGCATTTCTCCAGAACCCACTGCAGTTCTTTGCCCTCTCTGCGAATGTACCTCTCTATGGAAATTTTCCTGAGCACCTCTGCCCAGGTGAACACCACGATGGTGTGCCTCCAAACGTGCTCGCCAAAGAGGTTGACGTGCTCCTCGATGCGAGCGCGATCCACGTCGGTGAACATGCCCACAGCAACGACTAGCAGGAAGGCGTGAGGGCCTGGAGGGCAAAGAGAGGCGCCTCTAACCAGCTCCTGTTTATAAGAGGGCGGCGTATCCTGAGCAGAGAACCAACCAGGAGTGTCCACCACGATCACCTGACGGCCATCAACCTCTGTCTCCCTCTTTACACAGAACTCAGCCGCCCGTTCCAAATGAAACTCCTCCCTGCCGAGGATGGTGTTGGCCGTTAAGCTCTTCCCCGGCCACCTCCATCCAAGCACCACCAGGCGAACTACCGGCAGACGACTGGCTGCCTTGGAAGCAGCTGCTGTTGAGTGAGTCTCCTCCTCTGGTCCAGAAGCATCTCCAGCTACCACAAGAGAGACCATAATGATCAATGTTATAGGGAAATGAAGTATTTTAATTCCCTACAAACCACGACACTGTACAGTGTCCTTAAATGACTTGATTAAGAAGGTCAGTACCCGTTTTTGTTTAAATAAAGTTATTTAACGTAAACAAAGAAAACTTGAATAACGGCTAATCTAAAGAACCCAATAAGCGGGCACAATTTTCTTTGTTCAGGAAAAAGTTTGAAACATTTAGTAAATATAAACAGTTTTACTGCAGTAAAGACTACGTTATGAAATTAAAGAGACAATATGTAATAGGGTTGTCACGGTATGAAAATTTAACCTCACGGTTATTGTGACCAAAATTATCACGGTTTTCGGTATTATCACGGTATTTTTTAAACAGTGTTGCATATGTTCAGAAAGCATTGATAGTCCTGTTCTACACAAACTGAAATAGTTTTGAAAAGGTTTAACAGTGTTTATTAAACCTAAAATAACACAAAGCCTTAGCAAAAGTGCAACTTTTCACAAGTAAAGGAACACATAGCTTCTTTTTCTGGAACATGTTACAGTAGTCAGTGCAGGTTTAAATTATACAAATCCAAACATTCAAAACATAAACAATATGTAAACAAATCAAAGAAACACCACTTGTTTTCTCATATACTTGTTTTCTTCATTATCATAATGAAAATCTAAAACTCCAGTCCACACTTGACTTGAGCACTGTACAAGTCAACCTTAAAAAATATGTATTTAAAATAAATAGCCACTTTAAACAAATTACTAAAATAACTACTACACTATGTAATCAAATCCAAATGTTCAAGTATAAATGGCATTGAATAAGTAAACAAATCAATGACAAGGAACTAATTGTATATTTCTCTTCATCATCAACAAATAAGATGCTTCATCCAGCAACAGGGTGTCCGTGACACGGTTTAAATGCTGGCAGAGGACGCTGCGGCTGCAGTATATAGTGACTCGTTGTATTCTCCCTCAGCCAAAAGTCCTCACGTCATGCATTTAAGCTAAAATGCTAATGTTAACTTACCTTGCACTGGCTGTAGAGACGTGGGTGATGGTCACGCAGATGTGCCATGAGATTTGAAGTGTTGCTGCCTTCTGCAGACACTTGTTTCCTGCACGTTCTGCAAACGGGATAGCCGTCTTCTATTAACTGTCCCTCAGCATTTTTCAGAAATCCAAAATATGCCCATACTTCCGATTTGGTCTTCTTTGAGGGCTGATGGATGTCCTGGGCGCTGCCGTCTCCTCCTTCGGCCATTATTTCAGCTTCAAAGTTTTGGTGCCGTTGCAAACTAAAAAGTGCGTGTGCGCGCCGCGGGAACTTCAGCTGAAGCGACGGTGGCTGGTAAGGGTCACCGCGCCGAAACCGCGGCCACGGTAAACCCACCGAGATAATTTAGTTTATTAAAAACTGGACGGTTATTTTTATTGTCAACTTTTTTACCGGGGTTTACCGCTATACCGGTTACCGTGACAACCCTAATATGTAATTATCATTCACCTCTGGAAATATCCATCTAAATGTTGAGAATGAGTTAAATGATGCCCAGATATTGGCGGCTTGTTAACATATAACCATAAAAATCAGGTCTAAACACAATGGGAGTGGGTCTAAGGTCCAGTCTCTACTCGCACTGCAGACTTCAGCTAAGTGCACTTGGAGAAAGCGCACTGTAAGGCTTCGAGTGCATAGTAACTAGGGTTGTCACGGTAACCGGTGTAGGTAAACCCCTGTAAAAAAGTTGACAATAATAACCGTCTTGTTTTTTGAAAAATATATTATCTCGGTGGATTACCGTGGCTGCGGTGTAGGCGCGGTGACCCTTACCAGCCACCGTATCATCTGCTGAAGTTGCCGGTGGCACATGCGCGCTTTGATGTTTACAACCAAAACTTTCTTGAAGCTAAAGCTGAAATAATGGCCAAAGGAGGAGACGGCAGCACTCAGGACATTTATTATCCCTCAAAGAAGACAAAGTTGGAAGTACGGGCATTTTTTTGGATATTTGAAGAATGCCGAGGGACAGTTGATAGAAGACGGCTATCCTGATTGCAGCACGTGCAGAAAAAGTGTCTGTGAAAGGCAGCAACGCTTCAAATCTCATGACACATCTGCGTGACCATCACCCACAGCTCTGCAGTCAATGCAAGGCAAGTTAGCGTTATCGTTTTAGCTAAAATCCGAGGATTTGGGTTGAGGGAGAATGCAACGAGTCGCTATATAAAGCAGCCGCAGCGCCGCTACCTGCATATAAACCGTGTCGCGGACACCCCTATGTTGAAATGACGCTATGCATTACGGGGCTCCCAGGGGCAGATAAGAGTTGGTCTCGCTCCGAGAATAATTATGAATTTAACAATGATTACTGCCTGATGACATTTTCCCAAATCTGCAAAGCTCACTGGAAGGACACAAACCGAGGACAATATTTTCCTGATATAGGGTTTATTACTCAAGTAAGGGTAAAAAAGTACCTGAATAGAAGGCTACTTGAGTACTGAGTATCATCTGATCTAATACTTTGAAAATGATGACATCAAACAGACAAAAACGTAAGAAGTTATGGGCAAATATTGGTATTTTAAAGTCTAAAGGGGAAAAATGTAAACAACATAATTACAAAATAACAAATTGTAGGCAAAATTTAGAAAAAACTGAGGACAATATTTTCCTGATATACAGGGTTTATTTAGTTGTCTGAAAATGTAACACGTTTAAAAAATACCATGATAATACCGAAAACCGTGATATTTTGGTCACAATAACCGTGAGGTTAGATTTTCACACCGTGACAACCCTACGTAGTACACAAGTGTGCAAATAATTGCAGAATTGAGACAGGGAGCATCGCGTCATCGATTGCAAAGCATGCCAGGATACTGGTCGCTGTGATACTTTCTTCAAAAAGCTTTATTAACTTTTAAACAAACAGCCAAACAGTTATTTGAAATAAATTTATATTTATTGCTGCTTTGTCTAAAAGTTTTAGAGCATCAACTAATTGTCCTAAAATTAACAAATTTCATAAGAAAATACATATTTTCAGAAAAGGAACTTGAACCTTTTCTCCTGCAGCAATGACTTGTGGGTAATACTCTTATCCGAGGTCCGCATCGCTGTGGACTTGGGTGAAGTGCGGATTAAGGGTGCAATGGGGCATGGTCAACTTCGACACTTGAGAATCAGGACACCCTACGCACTCGCACCACTGGCCGGGAACGCGCAAGTGAAGGACGCAAGGGTGCAAGTGCGAGTATTGGGATTGAGCCTAAGTCTCTGGGCAATGCAATCTTTCCTTCTATGGGAGCCTGTGAGGACAAAATGCATTTACTGATTTGTGATAAGCAGTTTAAAAACTTTCACCATGCATAAATGTTGTTTTAGACATTTACCTCTTCACTTTTTCTAGGGATGAAAGAGAGGCTGATGTTGTTGTCATTTTGCTGGAGGGTGCACTTCCAGGGACTTTGACCCTAATGGCCATCCGTAGATAAGATCTTACTTGAACACAAAAATACCTTACTTGCAATGACATGTACTGCCCCCTATCGCCTGGGAAACTACACATCTTCACTTTAAAATGTTTACGTGAATTGATAATATTTTTGAAAATATGCCCGATCTTTATGAGAAAACAACAAATACACAAATATACCACCTACTTCATAATGAGATAATTGGTTTCATAATGAGCTACTTAGATGTGTAAATTTGACCCCATTTTCTATATTTTACATTTTATTCATCTGGTATTCATTATTGAATGAAAAACGTATTGCATTCATATTGTACAATAGAATTTGAGATATTATTTAAAGAAGAAACCTAAGAGTTTATTTCTTCCTACCAAGAAACTGCCTTTAGTTTGATTTTAAGTTAGATTTGTCTTGTTTCCTCCTGTAAAAGGTTTAGGAACCTATTTCTACATTAATTTATGGTCCAGAACATTACTAAAAAACAATAAACGCTAATGGATCAATTCAAGCAAAGTTATTTGTTCAATTAATATTTTAATTATGAGATTTTGTACGTTTTTAAGATGACAACATTTAGAGTAACGTGTCGTCGGTTGTTTCCCATCAAGAATGAATATTTACCACATTTATGTCAAGTTTGTAAAACGCTATGGCGGAAATGTTAATTATTTACCACCCCTACCTACGTAGTAGTGTCCGATTTCTTAAAGTCTCGCGTAAGCCCAAACAAACTCAGCTGTTTTATTGTTTTGTTGTGAGGAATCGAAATTTAACACGAGTCAAAATCCGGTTAGGTCTGAACCTCCAAGCTAACTTTTTATGCTAATTTCAACAGCCGTTGAGATGATACACTTGCATTAAAGTTGATAAAGTATCCAGATAAAGGTTATTCCTCCTCACCTGCTATCTGTAGTGGTTTACTGGCGTCCATGTTCCACTTTAATCCAGAAAAAAGGACTTCGAAACCTCGTTTTCAGCGCCTGAATCTTCGAAGAACTTCCTACTTATAATGACTGAAATTACCGGATACCCGTAATGTGTTCGTGACTTCCGGTTTGTGTCTTTCAGAACAAGGGCGTGCAATCTCAAACCGGGTGTACACATAAAATGGAGGCATTAAACAAAGATCTTAACCCTCTGGAGGCAGGCGTTGCAGATTTGCAACCTGGTCACTCCACATACGTATTTCATGAGCATTTTTAACTCAAAAGTTCCCCTGAAGGATTTAGTTGTTCATCCTTATCAAAACTTATTTTGAGCCTGAGAGGGTTAATAAACAAAACTGGAAGGAGGTATATGTCAGTGATGTCAATGCTGCATACACATACTTCATGAAAATACTGTTGAAATAATATGATTACTGCAAATTAATCAAATCTACAGGAAAAAGGGAAACCCAATCATGAATGACTAAGGGATTAAAGAATGTGTGTGCACAAAAGAATAACTTGTATACGAGTTTTTTGAAAAAATTACAAACAAGGGAAGCAGAAGATATAAAAAATAAAAAATTGGTAACAATAATAGGGAAGCAAAAAAATTATGGTGATTATTCTATATTCTATTGAATCAGAATAAAACACCAAAGCTACTTGGGGAATGATAAACGTTGTGACTTAGAGAGAAAACAAAATCCAGTATTCCAAATCATTTTGTCAAGGACAAAAAAGATAATTATGATGATAAAGAAATCACTGATGAGTTTAATGGGTTTTTTTTTGTAAATGTAGGTAGGAGTTTGATGGAGAACAAACCAAGATAAATTGAGCACAATGATTAGTACTGTCGATAATATTGTCCTTGACAAAGTAGATAAAGAAGAAGATATCATTTCTATAGCGCCTCTCAAGATAAAAATCACGAGGCGCTTGAAGCTTGAAAGAAGAAATACTATGGCGTTTGAAGCGTGCCACAACCCGTGCACGCGGATTGGGTCCACAGCGCACGTGTGAACGGGACTCGCGAGCGAAAATATACATGGCGAGAGGTCATTTGTGCACTGAGAGGGAGCAAACTGTGTCTGTGAGCGCACAAGGATGTGCACAAGTGACAAACCTGTGTGCGCGCGTTGTCAACGAGCACACGGCAGAGGAAAACGTGCGCGCTCGGCAGCCTCTCTGCGTGCTCGGTTACTGACTCCTGCTCGCTCGGCTGTAAGGGGTTTTGGCACTCTGGAGGCGTGGCCTGTGGCAGATCTTCTCTGTCCTCTGATTGGCTCTCTCTCTCTCTCATATATTGTACAACCACAGTCATAAAGTTTTCAATCAGTAGTTTTATTTCAGTATGTATTTTTCCAGTATCACAAAAAATGTAATTTTATATGGTTAAAACCATCTAGCTTATGTGCACTTTTTAAAACACTGCCCAGCAAACATTCGGACGTTTAATGACAGTTGAACGGTCACAACTGTAAAATAATACCACAGGAATTAGGAAAAATTAACATGACATCTACTCTATTTTCCTTGCCCAGACTCAAACCTGGATCCTCCGGGGGGAAAGTCACCCGCTCTTCCAGCTGAGCTATGACAGCAACTACTGAATATCAGACTTTTTTATATAGATACGTAGAGGGTAAAGTGCGGGGTAAACTAACCAATCAGAGGACAGAGAAGATCTGCCACAGGCCACGCCTCCAGAGTGCCAAAACCCCTTACAGCCGAGCAAGCAGGAGTCAGTAACCGAGCGCGCAGAGGCTGCCGAGCGCGCACAGAGGCTGCCAAGCGCGCACGTTTTCCTCTGCCGTGTGCTCGTTGACAACGCGCGCACGCAGGTTTGTCACTTGTGCACATCCTTGTGCGCTCACAGACACAGTTTGCTCCCTCTCAGTGCACAAATGACCTCTCGCCATGTATATTTTCGCTCGCGAGTCCCGTTCACACGCGCGCTGTGGACCCAATCCGCGTGCACGGGTTGTGGCACGCTTCAAACGCCATAAAATACGAAGCATTTGTATTATAAGTTTCAGTGGGAGCACGGGCAGAATCTTACCCTCCAGTCAGAACCTAAAAACAGCACCAGTAGGCAGCAATTTACCAAAAATATCCTTTATTAACACAACCAACAATAAAACACTACGCCCAAGTTCCTGCACGATTAAACCAGCTGTTCAGCATAAGTAAAATCAAGCAAGCGGGTACTTAGCTGGCCCAGTCGATGCAAACCCCTCCTCGGGGTCTGAGCTTCCGACACCGTCCAACGCCCCGGGGTTCAGCTTGCGAGGACGGCGGGTGAGTCCACGGCTCAGGTCCAGCTGCCAGAGTTTGCGGCGGCAGATGTCAACGTGGTCTCGGCACCCAACTACTCCCAGCCCTCACTACCTAAAGAAGCCGTCAAGCCTCCCCTCCTAGCGCTGGAACACTGCCCACTATGGCGTTTGAAGCGTGCCACAACCCGTGCACGCGGATTGGGTCCACAGCGCGCGTGTGAACGGGATTCGCGAGCAAAAATATACATGGCGAGAGGTCATTTGTGCACTGAGAGGGAGCAAACTGTGTCTGTGAGTGCACAAGGATGTGCACAAGTGACAAACCTGCGTGCGCGCGTTGTCAACGAGCACACGGCAGAGGAAAACGTGCGCGCTCGGCAGCCTCTGCGCGCTCTGTTACTGACTCCTGCTTGCTCGGCTGTAAGGGGTTTTGGCACTCTGGAGGCGTGGCCTGTGGCAGATCTTCTCTGTCCTCTGATTGGTTAGTTTACCCCGCACTTTACCCTCTACCTATCTATATAAAAAAGTCTGATATTCAGTAGCTGCTGTCATAGCTCAGCTGGAAGAGCGGGTGACTTTCCCCCCGGAGGATCCAGGTTTGAGTCTGGGCAAGGAAAATAGAGTAGATGTCATGTTAATTTTTCCTAATTCCTGTGATATTATTTTACAGTTGTGACCGTTCAACTGTCATTAAACGTCCGAATGTTTGCTGGGCAGTGTTTTAAAAAGTGCACATAAGCTAGATGGTTTTAACCATAAAAAATTACATTTTTTGTGATACCGGAAAAATACATACTGACATAAAACTACTGATTGAAAACTTTATGACTGTGGTTGTACAATATATGAGAGAGAGAGAGAGAGAGAGAGAGAGAGAGAGAGAGAGAGAGAGAGAGAGCCAATCAGAGGACAGAGAAGATCTGCCACAGGCCACTCCTTCAGAGTGCCAAAACCCCTTACAGCCGAGCGAGCAGGAGTCAGTAACCGAGCATGCAGAGAGGCTGCCGAGCGCGCACGTTTTCCTCTGCCGTGTGCTCGTTGACAACGCGCGCACGCAGGTTTGTCACTTGTGCACATCCTTGTGCGCTCACAGACACAGTTTGCTCCCTCTCAGTGCACAAATGACCTCTCGCCATGTATATTTTCGCTCGCGAGTCCCGTTCACACGTGCACTGTGGACCAAATCCGCGTGCACGGGTTGTGGCACGCTTCAAATGCCATAGCCCACCTATTCAGCTGTCTTCATCGCCGGCAGTCCTAACCAACTGCGAATTATCCCACCCCCCAGAACCGGGTGCCACGAAAGGTCGACCACACACACACACCTTGGTAGATCTGCCACCCTTTTCTCCTCTCCGGCCTCATTACGCCTGACAAGCACCAGCCGGCTTCCAGTCGCCACGCCCCCAGAATCTGGCAACTCCCGACTTCTGTCTTCCACACATTATATAAAATTGTGGAAACAAAGATCAATTGATTATCAGGACCTGGACATGATAACTAAAACCATCAATCTGTCATTGAACCATTCACTTACATTTGTAATCTATCACTTTCTACTGGAAATTTTCTTGATGCAATGAAAACAGCTAAAGTCATTCCTTTGTATGAGAGTGGTGATAAACATAGTTTCAATAATTACAGGCCGTTGTCACTGCTTCCACAGTTTTCGAAAATATTGGAAAAATGTATTTGAATCAAGGTTGGATAAATTCATTAAAAAATATAATAGTTTCAACAATGAGCAGTATGGGTGTAGAACTAAACATTCCACAGCAATGGCAATAATGGAATTAATGGATAAAATATCAACAGCAAGTGACAATAAAAATGACTTTATTAGTGTTTTCATTTACTTGAAAAAAGCATTTGACGTCATTGATCACTCAAGGTTACTTTGAAAATTAAGTCAGTATGGAATAAGAGGCGTGGCTCATCAATGGGTTAAAACTTATAAAGAAAACACTTTGTTCAGATTAAGGACCATAAATCAAAACTATGTGACATTAACTGTGGAGTGCCACAAGGGTCGGTCCTTGAACCAAAACTGTTCATTTTGTTTATTAACGACTTGGTAAATGTATCTAAGACACTCAGTACCATTCTGTTTGCAGATGATACAACACTGTTTTACTCGGGAACAGATATTGAGGAGGTGACTAAAGTGATAAATGATGAACTGATTACAATTAAAAACTTGTTTGATATAGATTGACACTGAATCTTAAACAGTATAAAATTTGTTTTATTAATTATAAAAAGAACAGTGATGTATCATTGGAAATAGATGGGATTGAAATTCAAAGGGTGAAAGAAACTACATTTCTTGGGATTTATTATTCATGAAGACTTGACATGGAAATCACATATTACTAAAAGGTAAAATTGCCAAATCCTTAGGAGTATTACATAGTCAAGTTTTTACTGACTAATTCTTGTTTGTTGGCATTGTACAATTCACTGACTGTTCCATACGTGATTTATTGTGTAGAAATTTGGGGAACAACATACAAAAACTATACACAACCCTTATTTGTTTTACAGAAAAGAGCTCTGAGAATCATTAATTATAATAGCTGTGGAGATCCATCAAACCTGTTGTTTATGAAATATAAATTACTGAAATTTCATGATTTAAAAGACTGGAAAATCATACAAACCATGTATAAAGCCAATTTAAGTACTCTGCCACAAACATTCAGGGGATATTTGAAAAGAGAACTAGTAATTACATGCTGAAAGAAACTGATGTGTTTAAAAAACCCAGATTTAGAACTAAAATTGAGGAATGGAATATATCTGTAAATGGTGTTGTTAAATTATGGAAAAACCTTAAAAAGGAAATTAAAAAAACTGTCATTTAATATATTAAAAAATGTACCAAATTGAGTGTACTAAATAATTATGAAAATGTCAATTAAATCAATGATCATGATCACTCTGGAAGTAAGAACAGGAAAAAGTTTTAAATGAATCTGTATGTGTGTCTGACAAATGGTAATTGTATATAAATGGATTATTTCTTCTGGAAAAGGGAGCAGAAATTATAAGATTTTTCTTCATTATATTCCTTTTCGTTCAAATTTGATTTTGTTGTTTTGTATATCTTATTGTTTATATGTTTTATTTGTTTTTATTTTAAATGAAATAAACAAATTTTTAAAAATTATGTGTGTGTGTGTGTGTGTGTGTGTGTGTGTGTGTAGAAAGCATCAACATACATATACACGGTAGAAAGTAAACAGTTCACAGATCAAAGAGATTCAAAATATGTAAACATTATTGTGACTTTTTCCTCTAAAGATGTTTTTATTGTACTAGTATTACTTCAACAATAAAGCCTGCAATGATTCGTATCCAGAATTAAAAAACAAATTACAGATAAAACAATTACTTTAGATGTAGATGGAGTGAAATGAAAATTGATTTCCAAACAACATATAACCATGAAAAACAAAACTAAATTACTGAGCTAAGACGACTTTCTGTGGCGGGATATGACACTGAAACACTTGGGTGATTGGTTTTAATAATGATCAAGGATAAAACATATTTACAATATTTAGCCCAAATCCACCATTATTTACAGCTGGATGAAACTCAATTCTGCCTCATTTGATAAAAGCAGTAGTTATATGTAGGGATGTCCCGATCAGGTTTTTTGCCCTCGAGTCCGAGTCATTTGATTTTGAGAATCTGCCGATACAGAGTCCCGAACAGATACTTTCGATACATTTAAAAAAAAAAGTAAATAAAATAAAGAAAAGGAAGAAACAGTTCCAGAATGTTCCTTATTTTTTATTTAATTACCTTTTTGTTTTAATGTTTAACAACAGATCACTTCTGTGAGGTAGCTTGAAAAATCAAGTAATAAATAACAAATTCTTCAATTTTGGACTTTATTGCAAACATGAAAAGTCTAATATAAAAACAGATAGCACTTCAACTTAAAATACCTGGCAGGGGGCTATTTTGCCTCGGCCCCCAAAATGCTTAGATACGTCCCTGGGCATGGGACAGAGTTTTGAAGATGATCTGAATTGTATCAACTATATAAATACTACATGCTGATAAATTATTGCTTTATACAGGTACAAACGTGTAGTGGGATCAATCCACCTACATTTTATTTTTTTAAGAACTTTGTTTTCTTGGTTCTTATTTTCCTGTTTTCCTGTCCTGTCTGTCTCTGATCTTCCTGCAACTCCCAGTCCTCCAGAAAAACTCCTGCCTGCTTCCTTCTTTTTCACCTCACAAGTAACTTTCTAACCAGCAGATCAAATTGATCTATTGACCATAAAAAAAGCAGAGTGTGTGCTGCGCTGCTCGGCTACGCCAGTGACGAGCGCTGCAGCTCGAGCGCATCCACACGTCATGCTCAAATACAGACAGAACCTACCAGAGAGAAAATGAACGGACACGAATGACTGTGTGTTAATTATATATTTTTTGGTGATGCCACTTAGAAACTTAGAAAATGTTACTGTGGCCATGTGCAGAACGCAGCTGGAGTTCATGAATAATCAACCGTCTGCCTGCCGCTCTGCATCTCTGCTCAAAAGTGTGCTCCTTCTGGGTGTGTAAGTTAAGGGCATCAGGGGAGCCTGACAACCTTTAAGGAGAACCAAGTTGCTCTCCTGTAATTTGAACCCAGGATCCGAGTCCGGATCGGGGCTTGGATCGGGAAGTAAAGCCCGAGTCCCGATCGAGTCTGAAACCACGTGATCGGGGCCGATTTCCGAGCATGTGATCGGATCGGGGCATCCCTAGATAGGACTAGAGACCTATACATGTGGTGCATTCAGCACTTAATGAAGAAACAGTGTAAAAACGAAGGAAAAAACCATTGGAGCAAAACAAAATCTAAAGTTTAGCCTTCTAATTCATTTCTAATGTTTATTTTATTAGAAAAGCAAATATAAGATTATTTGATAATACAAAATGCTTCATATCCCCGAAAAACCTTAAAAATGTAGAGATGCAAAAAGACCTTAAAGTCCTCATTGACTCTTTGAATGATGCAGCACTTTTATGCTTATGTTGCCCACGATGCCAGCATATGCATATCGTCTTCCTCTTCAACCCTTCTCCTGGTTGCTGTAAAAACACAAATAATAATAATAATAATAATAATAATAATAATAAACAATCAGGCTTGCTGAGTCATTACAGACCATGGATGATTTGGATATTTTTTTATTTAAGTATATAATAACTAGAGTGAGAATGACGCCTTCTGGACTCACTGCCTTGCTGTTTGGGATGTGTCGAAGGCAGTTTGGAACTGGGAACGCTCGGAAGTCCGCCCATCCTCTTCATCTTGTCCTCCAGCTCTTGCTGCTCCAGCTCTTCCAGCTCTGCAAGCAATTCATCCTAAAACAAACAACACAGAAAACAGATTAGAATACACACAGGTGGTGGCAGACATGGTTTAAAAATATGTAGCACAAAATAAAAAGTCTACGTGGAAAAAACAGGAAAAATAAGCTGACTAACCTCATCAAACTGTTCGCCGAAAGGTCTGGAGATGGCTTCGCTGATCTCCTGAGCCACATCTTGTTGCTCTGTGATATCCTGCATAAGATCATCGATCTTGTCAACGTCTCTGAGAGAAAGAAATAAGGATTACAACAGATTTAACATGCAGAACTCAACTTTAACCTCCTGCATCTTCACGTTGCAAACTTCTGACCGGCTTCAAAGACAAGCAACACTAAAGAGATTTTAACACTTAAGCTATTGCTTTCCAATGGGTTTCAGTGGCTCTTCAGCCTCATAAACTTGAGCATTGGACAGCACTTTGCTGCCCTCTGCTGACCAGAAGCTGTACTTGACAACTTTGGTAGTTCAGGTAGGAACAAGTGGGATGTCTCTACAGCTTTACTGAGCTCATTTAAAGTTTGGCGTTTAGCTTTTTCTGTTTGCCGACTATTAATGAAAAGCACAAGAAGAAAAAAAATATTGGCATTATGGCTAAGCCTGGAAGTAAGTGTAATGTCTTTAGAGGCGAAGAAAGTATGAACTAGACAACGAGCTAAAACCAGAATGAACTTTGGTGCGGCCTACGCTCTGTTTCAGTTTCATCCTATCTGAAGAAGTAGCAAGTGCTGTTTACAAACTGCCAATCATCATACACTAGTAAAAACATACTAAATACAACACCCAGCACTGTTCTCTGCAAAGCCTGAAACGGGGTTGTTTATGCCGTTTTCAACCAGTAGGGGGGAGAATTGGGAAACTTGGGTGTTACCAAAGGTGTGGGACACTCGTTTAATCAAATTAGTTGCAGTGGTTTCTGGTAGAAATTAATGCCTTGTAAGTTTTACTCTGTAGAAACAAAGCACTGGTGCACCATTTTCAGGAACTAGATGTAAGCCACATCACAGCTGAGCTTCTGGCGGCAATTTTTGGAGTCTTATTTCTTGATATTTGGAACTCTCCCCTTGGATTAGCCAACAGCAACACAACTGTACCACTGACTCCATTTGCATTGCAACGTTGATGTTTTATTTCCACAAAAAACACAAGCCTCAAGGACTTCTGCTGTGTGGTGCTAATGCTAACAGTTTGTTTCTATTAGCTGAGATGTTCTCTGTTTCCTGGTTGCCAAACCAACATCAACCTTTCCCGTAGCAAGCGAGTCCATGAATGATAAGTGACAGTGTGACATAGATCTACGTCTATCAGAAGCTAATGCAGGATATAGGTGCAGGAGACTATTTTCATGTTCAGCCTGCTTGTTAAATCCAGATGAGCCGATCATAATCAGAAATAATTTGATTAATGGTTTTTCAGTGTTCCACACCTTTAATCGTTTGAAACACAAAACACATCATTTGATACTTTTATTTGAGAGCTCTACCGCCAACAGGATTAGTACTTTCCTAACAAAAGAAAACCTGCATGTAAGATTTTGTGTGTCTATTGCCCTCTGGTGGAAGAGCCAAGAACTACAAGTGGCAAGTGACAATTTTATTATATTATTATATAATTAAATAATAAGATTGTCTGCAAATCAACATATAATTAAAGCAGCTCGGTACAATGTTGGTGTCAAGATTATTATTTTCCTTTGTGACAACGAGTTCTTACATGTTCTGGTGGACCTGCTTCATGGCCTTGGCAGCATAGCCCATGTTCTTCAGGACCTCCGTGTTGGTGTGCGAGTTCTCCAGAGCTTCCCTCTGAAACTCAATGGTGGAGAGTGTGCCATCAATCTGAGTCAGCTGTTGCTCCAGACGCTTCTTCTTCTTTAGGGCTTGCAGGGCGGCTGCAAAAGTACAGGTCACAAAATCAGTTTTCACAGAGAATTCTTTTCCATCATCTACCTGTGACGTGTTGGGCATAGACAAAGAGAGGATACGCGGTTCCTCCCTTCACAAGGCGTTTGTATCTTGAGGTGACTTGGTGAGTAATGCAACTGAGAAAACACCCTGATGCTGAGCAGAGCTGCAGCTTTCATGCACAGGGAGGAGAAACTTTCAGGTTTGATAACATGTTTCTCTTTTTCATGACAGCAATTTGTTCATGCCCCTTCAACACTTACACATTCAGTCAATAACTCCAAGAAAACTCATGAATCATTGTTTACAGGAGAGTAACATTTACCTCCACCTCTGCTCTGGATGCACAACATGCAATAATGAAAAAATAATAACATGGCTGGCCTCAGGTTAATAATCCTGCTTTGTAAACAAAGGGGCATAAGACAATAGGTCTAATATGAGTTCAGATTCAAAATAACTGGGTGAGAAAGGTGTTTATTTAAAACATTTAGCACACACACACACACACACACACACACACACACAGTTTTTGATCATAGAAAAATATGATTTTAGAATATTAATATTTAGAATAACAAAGTTATTAGAAATAAATGTTTAAAATGTCCCCTCCAACCCAATTTACAAGCTCAACTTTAGTTATTTCTGTGTTGTTTACATGACAAGAATTTAAAATCCTATCAAAATTGTAAGAAATCGATGCAAAATAATACTTTAAGTGTTTTATTTGATATCAAATTAAAAAAAGACAAACTAACTTTTACGCAGCCCAAAACAAACATGGCTGAAGTACTGCTGGTTTACTTCTTATCTGCACACTTACCTCTCTTGTTCTTTGTCCCATGCTTCTTAGCTGTCGTAATTTCCTGATCTATCCTTTTCTCCAGATATTCCTGCTTCTTCGTGAGCATTTCCTCGGTTTCCCGGAGCCGGTGGATGGCCTCCTGGGGAGACGGACCTCCCTTTGACCGGTGATGTTTGGACTTGGACGCGCTGGAGCTGGAGCTACCGTTGAAAAGCTTCGAGATTTTGCTCATTTTGGAAACTTCTACAGAAAAATAGTGTAAATGTGTGAAGGAAAAATACTCAAACGTGTCAGAATCGGGCTGTTCTGCTTCACAGGCGGAGCAGTTGCAGATTTTCCAGCTTGACGGCTTTTTGCTTTCAAACCAGCAAGTGAATGCACCTTTCGCCGCACCTTTCAGGGCACCTGTGACGTAATGACACCTGACGCCATGTTTCCTCAACAGACCACCTTTAAATAATCTGCTAAATATTGAAAGGTGACCGAGTTTTCCAATGTAACCTTATAAAGAATACTTTTTTATAATAAATCGTTTGACCTTTTTTGTAAAAATTATATTATAATTGAAAGAATGAATGGATAAATAAATAAATAAATAAATAAGTGTAAGTAGAAATAGCTTCATTAGCATTTTTTAAATAAACAATGGCTTCATTTTGAATTCGCTATACATCTTGAAATACTGGATGAAACAAACAAAAAAATAATAAAAAATGTATATTTATTTATTTTTTTATTCATTCCGATTTGTGCATTCACAAAACTCCCAATCCATCCTCCTTCCCAATAGGTGTCGCTAATGATCCAACTCGCTTCTTGCTAGCCGCCGTTAAACGTAAAAGAAGTTCACTTTTCTCGAACCACCAGACTAGCTAATGGCTGAAGTAGACATTGGGAGACATTGTCAGGTTGATTCCTGTAATGTCAAAGGTTCGTTGTGGTTTAATTTAATTGATTAAATGTAAACGACGCATAAGTTTGACATGTTATCGATTTTCTTCTCGGTTACGCGTGTTTAACACGCTGATCTGTTAGCTTCTCTAGCCTGTTACGTTAGCAAACATGTTAGATGATGCGGTACAATGAGAAAATTGAACTTAGAGTTGGCTGCTGTGGTAATTTAGCTTTTTGTTGATGTTCTTCCAGAAGCTTGATCTACTTAAAAAAATTAATTTTTATATATTATTTCTGTAATCGATCCTTTCACTGACTACATTTTATTTGATTTATAGATTTTCTTCCATTTGTTTGTGACTGCTGTAGTGGTGTTTATTGGTAAGTCTTAACATGAAATCAGCTGGTGGTATTAGTTAGTTCGGGTTTCCTTTCGGCTTATGCCAGAATATGTAGGTATAGCTTTTATGTTGCTGTTAGAAATACAAGTCACCCCACAAATAAACTTTTTTTTGCTGATAAACTAAATAAACGAGTGTCTAATCGTGCTGTAGACATGTGTCGTCAATAATTTGGCACTTCAGTGCATCTTAGTTAAAATTTTAATATTCTACCTAAAACTGGCAGTGTTGTGCCAGTGTGTCAGGTAAAAACTCTGCACTGTATTTTAATTTAAATCTGCCACCGCTATTAGCTAATAGGTATGCTATGATGTAAACTGGTACATTATGATGTCACAATGCTGTGTGAGCCTTTGTGTGTGTATTTGTTAGCAGCTCCGCCTTCTTGGTCTGCCAGGCAACAGCCATTGTTGCATTTTTCAAACATGAAGTGGGAGTGAAGTACGCTTCTTGTAAGGGGTGACTTGCTCTTTAAAGAGCAAGTCAACCCCTACCAGAGTCTAACTCCACTCCCACTTCATGTTTGAAAAATGCAACAAATGCTGTTGCCTGGCAGACCGAGAGGGCGGAGCCGCTAACAAATACACACACAGGCTCATAACAACATGGCCTTGTTCGAGTTGAGCAGCGCCTCGCCTGGAAAGCAGACGAGAGCAGACGGACGCAGCAGGGGGAGTGACTGAAAGCCGGCGTTTAAGTCGGACAGATTTCTCTACATGTGTAGCTCGCGGGTGACGACGGATGAAGATATCACGTTAGAGTTCATACTTGTTTAATTATTTATTTTAATTCTGGTGCCTGTTAGCAACCGAAACACATCCTCACATGCTTGTGGATATCATATATTGTATATGGAGACATGACTGTAATAATAAGTAAAGGTTATCAGCTGTAGCTTTAGTGTGCTCATAGGAAACGTGACAAAAGAACACAAACCACATTCCTCTTTATGGCCTATATAGTTGTCTTCATCAACGTAACATGATTTAAAGAATACATGCGACCAACTAACATTTTGCATTCAACCACCGGATGTTTGGATCAAAATATGAACCATTCAGAACTTCGATCAGGTGAGAGCCAGGCGTTTCCCGTCATCCCCTAGGTTTTGCAGCCGGTGGAGAGCATCTGCAGCGCCTTGCTCCAAAATCTGCGGCTGCCTTGATCTCACGAGGTTATCGTTGCCTACGTATGCATGACGTCAGATCAAGTCGGACACAAATCTAACCGGCAAGCACTGCGCGCAGATCACCGGTGATCTAATCTGCACAGAACTGGCTCATCTTGAACACGGCCATTATGACATCATATCGTACCATCTAACATTCTTAGCCAATAGCGATGGCAGATTTAAATTCAACTGCTGTGCAGAGTTTTTAACCTAACAACAGCACAACACTGACAGTTCTAGCAACACTATTGACTACATGTGTCTGCAGCACGATTAGACACGCATTTATATAGTTTATCAGGAGTTGATTTGGGGGTGACTTGCTTTTTAAATTATATTTCAATCTTATTGTTCCTTGTATAAATTAGACTTTGAGGAAGATTATTTTCTTAATTTTTTCATTTCATTTTAATAATAATATTAAGTCTTGAGTTTTACAAGAAAAACTAAAGAGTACAGCATGTAAATTTTTGAATAATTTGCAGTTCAACAGCTCAGAAAATTAAGAACTGTTCTGATATTTTTTGTGAAGATCAACTAGTTATACTTATGCAAAAAGAAAAATATCTGTCCTTTTTTATCCTTAGATCTGACACCTTTTTGATACTTGTCCTATTTTTAAACACACATTTAAGCTACCAAAAGCTTGGAAAAAAACAGCACATTTGTTTTGAATTTCATTAATATGTAAGAGATAGTTTTTTTATCTTATTGTTTTGTTTATTAAAATATGAAATACATTTTCCTCCCAACAGTCTTGAGCACAGAAGTCGAGAGGCCCACTCGTGTGCACAGGTTCGCTCCCCAAACTGTGACCCTGGGACTGATGGTGTTTTTCAATTTGTTCACAACCTGCTTGTACTTTTGCTCTAGGAACCAGTGAAGAGAGAATTGAGGACTACTGGTGGCAGCGTGAGTTATTCCTGTTCTTTTGAAGGCTGCAAGGGAAAAGAACTGCTACCAGTTTTATGTCCACAGTGTGAAAAACACTTCTGTTTGGCGTAGGTTTCACTTTTAAAATACGTTGACTTTAAACAAAGGAATTTAAATCATGTCTGATTTTATTCTTCTATTTTATAGCCATCGTCATCAAGATGATCACAAGTGCGAAAAGTTGGAGGCCCAAAAGCCCCGGATGGCAGCCACCAAAGAGCTAGTGCAAAAGATTGTAGGTCGGTTTAAAAAGAGGAGATTCTTGTGTTGAATCTAATTTCTACACGTGGGTTTAGGATCGGTCAACAATAACCAAAAAAATACATCAGGTTTATCCATTTAAATTGTGTTTAATTGTCTGATTAGAGTCAAAAGCTGGATCCAAAAGCAAAGGATGCAAGGGAGCAAAGAACGCTGCCACTGCAGCCAAGGTAGCTCTGATGAAACTGAAGCTGCATGCTGTAGGAGATAAAGGGCTGCCACAGGTGACAGATCAGCTTTCAATTTCTTGTTCTAGCATTGTTGTGTGTTGCATGTCATGAATCAAGCACACACATCTTACTCTCGTCTTGCATTCCTTCTGCTTTCCAGACAGAAAGAACCTATTTTCAGGTGTATCTTCCAAAGGAAGCCAAAGAGCGCAGCCAGCCCATGTTCTTTTCTTCCAAATGGAGTGTTGGGAAAGTGGTGGATCACGCAGCCTCTCTAGCCAGCCTGAAAAACAACAACAATGTACTGACAGCAAAGGTAAAAGACTGACTGACTTATTTAGTGGTGTGTATTTTATCTACTTACTCCATCAAAAATGCATCCTGTGATAACAAGGAAGTTTAAAATTTCTCGTGAGGAAAGACCTTAATGCATAACCAGCTCAGATATCAACCCAATTCATAGGGAAAATGTTAGTTCAAAACATTTTGCACAACTAACTCTTTACCTTAAGAAAACTCTTTACCTTTACTTTAAGAAAACAGTGGTAGTCTTATCATTTAAGACTGATGTAATTTTTTTTCAGTTTATGAAATCTTTTTTTTCTCTGCCTAAACTTAAAAATATTTAAAATTCCCTGTTTTTGCCAGTAATATGAGCCGATATTAAACTGCCGTAACCCTTTGTGCAGAAGCTGCGTCTCTGCCATCCCCAGACTGGTGAGGCTCTCAGGATGGATGACACCCTGCTCTCTCTGCTGGCTCACACAGAATCTCCCCTGCATAACGGGGGTAATGTGATCCTGGAGTACCTGGACAATGAGAGCTCAGGCCTGGAGGATGTTTCGGACTATTTCACACAGACGTGACCAATCAACATAATGGCTTTGTACATTTATGGATCAGTTCTGTTTATAGTTTTTTTTTTGTCAAAATGCTTTATTGAAACTGGTTTTACATGCAAGACAAATTGACATAATGAATTGCCACATGACCGAAATGAAAATAAATAAATAAAAAAGATTTGTTTGATTATTCTGCAATGATTTTATTTTTTAAAAAACACGGGCTAATTATATATATATAATGTTGTTTATTGTTTTTGCTGCTGAGGTTTCCAGTTACATCTCTCGTCTGGAGCGAAACGGTTCCAACCAATCACAGCTTCCATTTCTGATATTGACAGACTCGAGAAGCCAATCACAAGAGGACATTAAGAAAGTAGGCGGGAACGATAGCGAAGCAGTTGTACAAGAAAAGGGGTTGGGTCGTCCGTTAACAGTAGATCCCGTTGTTTTGACTTGTTCAGGTTGTCGACCGAAAGCAAAACCAAAGCTCCGCTGAAATTTAACTAGAATCGGTAGAAATTAGCCGCTTGTCCGATCGAGTCGCCGGGAAAAGGAGCGACTTGATCTGTCTAATATCGGTCGTTTGAAAAATCAGGTCGAAAGGGATGCCGCTGCAGCGAGACTCCGAGGAACGCCAACAGTCTTTGGATGTGATCTCGTCGCATTTAATCGGAAAGAGCAGTTTCTGTATAAACCTAAAAAGTCTCAGAATAACTCCATCTCGACCGAGTGCTTTTGAAACATACTCAAGCTCAAGTTCACATTAAAAAGGCTCCGCAGTTTCAGCGAAAAGCTACTAATAATCAGCAAGCTAACGGCTAACGGGCTAGCTAGTGAACAACAAAGCGCGGATCGTTAATCCTCGGTGACCTCTTCGCTGCAGAGGTCGACTAGCCAACCGTGCGGACGGCTGCTTGAGATTTTCAACCAGTTTCCTGCGTTTGCTGAAGAAAATTGTCAAGGTATGAGACGGCGTAAACCAGGAAGACTGGCTGCTAGTGGGGGAGGGGTAGTGGTTTTGGTTTTGGCCAGCGAAATCAATGTTTTGGTCAGAAACGTCCTCACGGGGCGCTGCTGCTAACGCTGCTTTTATCTTATTGTTTCGTTAATGTCGTTCAAATTACTTGTTCTGTTGGGTTAAAATAATTCCAGAGAAGCAGAGAAAATGTGTGCATCTAGTCCTGGTTATCGTTTTAACCATAAAGTTGTGTTTTGTTCCCCCAGACTGCCATGAAGCTGTTGGAAAACTCCAGTTTTGAAGCTCTCAGCTCTCGACTGTGCGTTGAAACTGGAGAGTCTCGCATCCTTGGCAGGTAAAAAATCCCTTCCACCTTATTTCAGCATTTTTAGGATTCTTCTTTTGATGGTGCATCAGTAAAGCCCATTTCGCAGGTATACTGCACAACAAAAAAGGCTATACGGTTTTTTTTATTTATTTATTTTTTATTTTATTTTTTTTCATTATAACTTTATTTAGCACATTTTGAACATACAATTGTAAGACATGGAACACATAAAGTATACCATTGTGGTATTACAACGAAGAATGACAGAAATGATGGAGACATGGAGAAAAAAGGAAAAATAAAAAAAGAAAGGTTTGGAAGAGGTCAAGTCAATCGAACAGTTTCAGATGGTTACAAATGTTAACAGACTTAAGAGCCTTGGTGTTTTTTGATGAGGAGATAGTCCTTATTGTTCAAGTTCCATTTTTAATACAAAGGCTATACGGTTTGTAGGGAAACGTTTGGCCTGCGTGACGTCATGGAACACTAAAGTGTTGCAGACATCCTGCTGCTAACCAGGGTAGTGGAGCAAAGCGCCACTCAAGGGTTATGCAATATGATGATAGCAGTTTACAATCCCCAAGGCCTACTTTCAGAGCTTGCAGTTCTGCAAAGCCCTGCAGCTGCAGTTAGAGAGGGTGTTGTTGCATAAAGCCTGGTGGCCGGGTTGTGCGCTTATGCAGAGTTTGATGTGTGGGTGTTGAAACTGAAATATGTTGGTTGTGACGCAGATCTCACCAGACCCTGTGGTTATTTTGGAGACAAGTGTTAAAGCACACATTACATGATAACTGAGTGCTGCTGTTTAGACGATGGTTGTGCAAAAACCAGCTGTACAGGACAAGTGTAAATAAATAGCTATACCCTTTATAAATAAATTAGGATGTTGTCTAGAGAAGTGTGTGTGTGCGTTGTGTTGGAAATACCAGCATTGGTATTTCCACTCTGCTGTCCTCTGATGTTTTCTATAATTAGCCCGTGGGGTCTGGAGGGATTTCTCTGGCCAGCTTGTCCTGAGCTGCCTCATCTTGTGTAACCTCTGAGTGTGATGAGGCAAAATAAACACACACACTAGTCTGCTGCACTCAGATATCCATATCAGCGACGTCTGACCCAGATACCGAGAACTCTATCGGGGGCTCGCCTTGTGTTTGTGTAGATGAGACGTCTCAAATGATGTGCTCTATGTGCCACACTCCTGATTTGTGTATCTCTCCCCCCCCCCCCCCCCCCCATTACTAAACAGTGCAGCAGGTTGATAATCGATTCATAAATGGCTTAAATAGGCTTAATGTTGTGCTGTCTCTTCTGCAGGATCGAGAGCTACTCCTGTAAGATGGCAGGAGATGATAAACACATGTTCAAGCAATTCTGTCAGGAGGGTGAGCCACACGTCCTGGAGGCCCTTTCGCCCCCTCAGTCCACCAGCACCACCAGCCCTTCACAGTGAGTAACTTGGTCCGCTGCAGTGGTGCTCCATGACGGGCGAGTCTAGATGTTCTAAACGATGTGTTCCTGCAGGCTGGGGAAGAGCAGCGAGGACGGGGAGAACCCTCTAAGTGATAAAGTTTGCAGGAAGACCCTCTTCTACCTCATCACTACGCTCAACGAGTCCTTCAGGCCGGACTACGACTTCAGCACTGCTCGGGCCCACGAGTTCAGCCGCGAGCCCAGCGTCAACTGGGTCAGCCTGGTGACCTTTTAGAGGTGATCGAGGAGCAAAAGCGGATGAGTGACGGTTGATCTTCTCCCCAGGTGGTGAATGCAGTAAACAGCAGCTTGTTCTCCGCCGTGGGGGAGGAGTTTAACTCTCTGGGACCGGAGCTGTGGAATGCCATCGATCAGGAGATCAATCTGCAGAGCTGTGACATCTACAGGTGTGTGTTTGGGTTTAGATCCCTCATAGTGTCAGGTGGACGTTTTAACGTAATTTCTTTGTTCTCAGCTACAACCCAGACCTGGACTCGGATCCTTTTGGAGAAGAGGGGAGCCTCTGGTCCTTTAACTACTTCTTTTACAACAAGAAGCTGAAGAGGATCGTGTTCTTCACGTGTCGCTCTGTCAGGTCAGCTGCAGCTAGACCCCGGCCATGCGAACCGCTGAAGCAGACAGCGTTTAATCCAATCACCATACATTGTCAGATTGGCGTACACATTACAGGAAATGCCTGACAGCCCAAGTCTGTCAGATCATCTTACATTTTTTAAAAACTGTTACTTTGATGGGCCAGATTACCATATTTAGTTGTAATAACTGTATGACACCCTGACTTGTCAATTTGGTATATTTTAAAGCTTTATTTTCTAAGTTCAGTAGGTTTTTGTGGATAGTAAAACAGTAAAAAAACAACTGTGAATAAACTGCAAAACATATTAGGTGTGTTCTTGCTGTGTCGTGGTTCTAATTCCATGCTGTCGTTCTTTTTTAAAACACAAACAGTTTCGTTACCTGTTTTTCCGCTACGTTTCGTCTGCGGCTGCAGAACATATTAAAAACAGAAATACAATACTTGGATTCCTCGTACTTTGCCATCTGCACGCTGAACCCACAGCTCCTCTGAACATAGCGGAGGTTTAGATGATTGTGCGTGAACTGCATGTATGCTGGTCTGATGTGTATGGTGTTCTGATAGAACAATGGAGATGATCTTCTGAACATCTCGTGTGTGTTTAGTGTGTTAAGTGGTTACGGTCGTGGATGTCTCGATAACGAGCTGGACATGGAGCTGGAAGACGAGGAGGAAATGGACGGCTTCACAGAGGAAGGGTGAGACGATTTGTCTTCTGTTGAGGTTTTATTCTACATTATTTGCTTACATTCCAAGTGTCGCCCTCAGGTGTCCCAGGGCTCTGTGTGTGTAAGGTGGACAGAGGTGACCCATCCAAAGAATCTCCATATTCGTCATGTTTTTTAACCTGTGGGATTGTGCTGCCTCATCCCAAAGCCATTTTTACTTACTTTACTTTACAAGATGACTGCATGTTTGTTTCTGCTCCTGGTGAGCTGTGGGAGGAAGTGGACGTTTTGAAACGACGCCCCACAGCAACAATCGAGCTCCTTCAGCTCCAAACAAAAACCCCTGCTGGTGGATTAATGGTAGAGACTGTTGGAGAGTTTAGTGGGCGAGAAGCTCGGATAACGGCAAGAACCTGGAGTCTGGTCCAGAGGCCCGTCGAACTGAACAGCTGATCCTTCTGTGTTTCTTCTTAATGTGATGTTTGACGTTCTCAGATAAGCCTTTATTACAAACGTTGTGTGGTAGTGATTTACTGCAGATGTCCTCCAGTTCCTGACCAACAAGCATTTATCATTTTCACCGGGTATTAGTGATTTCATCCACTGACCGCCCTGATTTGCTCATTTTGCTGCAGCAGCTCCATAAACCTGAATGTATAGATTAATACTGGATAACTTTTTAGATTAAAAAGCTTATTTTATGTTTTATTAAAATATGGGAGGAGCTTCATCCTTTAACTCCAGTGCTTGTGATTTTTGCTCGTGTTGCAGATTGTAATAAATTGGTGTTTGTATCTGAGCCTGGATCTCGTCTATGAGCACAACCGAAGGACGACAGACGGGTCAAAAACAGACATTTAATAACAGATGCAGTACATGATGTCACCACAGTATAATCCGTTTCCTTTGTGGGCTCAAGCCGTAAACGTTGCTGCAGACCTGGCGGCTGCCTAGTGCCATGCTCATTTCTGTACGAGACCCTCTGAGTCACCCTCCACCCGTATGGCCACTTGACTGGGATCCAAAGTGACGCGTGCATAGATCAAGGAATTCCTAAAAGATAAATCAGGCCGACTGTCCAGTTCCTATAGCAGCTCCGTTAAGGCCGAGGTTTTAAGTGTTCATGAGTAACATCTTTCTATGGACAAATGGCACCTATCTGCTGGGAGCAAGACCTAACCAATCGCTAACAGATGTCTGCACCAGACATTTCAGAACTAAATCCATGATGTTTAAAATACTGTAAAACAGTTTTTCACCAAAACATGATTTGGCATCGGCATGGCTGAAAAACTATTCTGTACTTGACATTTACAAAGTAACAAGAACTCCTGAAGGAAACCCGAGAAACATCAATATTGTAGCTTATGAAGTAAAAAAAAAAAACCAAGTGTGTCGTTATGACAGCCTCTGTAACAACACTGCGATCCCTTTGTCCTGAACAGACCAGCACTGACTGGAGTAATGCATCATGGTATGTGATGGCGAGTACAACAAGAGTTTGCTGATGAAAGGATCGTCTCCCCAGTTAAAGTCACTGCTTTAGATGTTTTTGTGTTGTTGTACCAGAGGTCGTTTCAGTCTCTTCAGTTTTATAAAGGAGAAAAAGTAAGGACATGATGCTGAGCCACGAAAGGTGGTGATGCAGGCAGTTGGGCCGTCGATGGCTGAGACGAGGCTATCTGAGTCCAGCTCTGGAGGTCATCCACTCCAGGCCTTGGCACAAACTGGAAAACAAACAGCCATTAACCAGTGGAGTGACACATCTGGATCCAGATGTGTTTTGTAGCTTTTAGACATTTATCAGCCTTCATTGTTAAAAGCTTATGTTTTACACTTTCATCTCAGCTATGATAAAAAATCTGAAGTCTGATTATATCAGAAACCGAACCACTGCCCTGACATCTTTTATTATGAAAATGCGTTAGTGTTGCTGAAGCACCCAGATAACGCCGGGGACACACCAGCCGCGGAAGCGCCGCTAAGCGAAGCGCTCACGAAATTCGTCCGCTGCTCGCCGCTCCTCAGTTCAGATCAGACGCGCTCCAGTCGAGGCGCACCTCGGCTCAGCTGTTTTTTCTTTTAAACACTTGGTGTCCTCCATTTCCTCTCTGCCTTTTCTCAGCTCTTTTCCTCTACGTTTGAGTGTTTGTACGTGTGTGAGTGTGTGTGTGTGTGCGCGTGTGAACCTATGGTATGAGTTGTTTCTGCCAGTTGAATCTCTTGGAACCCGCTCCAATTCTCCAGCTGTATCCTAGCAGTTTCTTCCGAAATAACCATGTTTTTCGGGGTCGTACAGCTCCTTGTGTTTCTCAACTTCCATAATTAATTTAAAGTCATCCATCCTAACTGCTTGCCTCAGACTTTCTGCCTCTCTGTCCTGTTTGCTCCGGTGAAAAGACACCCAAAACCACACCCCCTTCACGTGGTCACACACGCACACAAGTTCGATGTGTGTGTATGTGTGTGCGTGTCCGTGTGGTTTTTCTGCAGTGTCTGTTTACGAACACATCTGACTATTGCAGAATTTTATTTTGAAATGCTTTATTTTGTTAACTTTACCGGCCTGCCTCTTATGTCTACGTTTGACTTCCTGTCAGAATTGACGCGATTCACCCGCGGCTCACGAAAAATATAGAGCCAACGCTGAAATGATCGCTGCATGGCGCGGGCTGGAGCGCCGGCGCGAGGCGATTCGCGGCGCTTCGGCGGCCCATGTGGTCTATAGAATAGCTTAACAAGGGCGCCGAATGAAGGCGGTCCCATTTTCGCGGCGCTTCCGCGGCCAGTGTGTCCCCGGCGTAATGCAGTACCAAACAGACTATCTGCATGTTAACGGGTCAGTCCAGCTCAAACCGGTCAAAAGTGACAAGATGACATCGCCACAAAGTAACACGTGTTACCCCTACTTCACACGAGAAGCATCGGCGACGTGGAACGGCAGCAGAACGTTGCTGCTTCAAACAGAATCCATTATAGTCTATGGGGTGATTCAAACCAGCCACGACGCAACGATTTCTAGACAGAGGAAGCCAGAGAAGCTGCTTTCTGGCTGACACTCTCAGCGTGTACTGGCATGTAGCAAAACTCGCGAGTAAACCATTCTGTGATGCTGAGTGAATTAGGGGTAATTCCATCAAACAGCACAGTACTGTGCTGCAGCGTTGTTGACTAGTCCTTCTGCCATTGTGCATATCCTGTTTAAACTGCCTGCTTCACTCCCACCAGCATCGTTTACTGTCTGTTGCTATAAGCTGACTGGAAGAATGCCGACACAAAAGGGCACATTTCACCACCTGCTGTACCGAACTTCATTTACGGGTTCGGCTTCCTAGCACACACGCTAACTAGGACAACGTCCCCCAATGTCTAACTTTAAATCGACTTAGATGCACAGAGTGCTTTTGTGGTAAACAATCTCTTCGCCTTTGCTGTGCAAAGTTTGATATTTCAAAAGCAGCAGCTCTTTATATGAAAACATCTGAGTGCGTTGGTCCTTCACAACTCTTCTGAGTTTTTCTCACAAAACACAGAAGAGTTGGCAGCTGGACAGAGGGCGTCCTGTGTGCAGCTCTCTCTCTCTTACCCCTCTCCTGTAAGAGCGCAGCAGGACTGTATGTGCCAGGGGTGGTCTTTGATGGAGCTTAGGGTGAGGTATTTGGATATATCTGCCGCAGACATGCAGTCCTTCATATCCTGCTTGTTGGCAAATATCAACACAGCTGCTTTCCGCAGGTCCTGAGGGAGAACGCAGAGATCAATCAGAGGGTTTTCACATCATCTGGAAAAGTAGGAAAGTCTCACCAGGTCAACAGCTGCGAGGTTTTCCTCACAGAGGTGTTAAAGGAGCTTTACCTCGTGGGCCAGCATCCTGTAGAGCTCCTCTTTGGAGATGGCCAGCCTCTCTCGGTCCGTGCTGTCCACCACCAGGATGATGAACTGAAGAACAGCAGACAGAAATCACACAGAGGAGGGAAAAGGAGACAAAAGCAGCTCAGCGGGGGGTCATTTCCAGGCCAAGGCGTTTTAGGTGCTTACGAATGCTAATGCTGCCTCTGAATGAGACAAAAGGGTCAAAGGAACAATCTCAAGAAGTAAACACTCATAAAAGTTATTAAAATAAAAAATTGGGTTCATAAAGTTTATTGTAACAAAATTAGCAAAAAGGGCAGAACAAGTTTAAAGCTGGAACAACGATCATGTTTTATTTACTTTGTGTTAAATTAGTCCATCTGTGTCATCAGGCGCATACGGCAGACCACCAGCTGATTAAATCAGATCACTCAGTTTGATCCAAAACCTGATTTGAGTGTATCAAATAAAAATCACAACAACCACTTGGTTATAAAAGCCACAAATTTACTTTCAACTCCTAAAAATGACCAGATCAAACTGGTTTTTTGCCTAATAATAAAACTTTCATTTCCAAAGAGAGAAAAAGTTCTGGTGGAAATCTAACTTTCAGGCTCGTTTTTAAGCACATCTGAGTCTCCAGCCCTCCTTTGTGTTCTCACGTTTCTGAAGCATTGTAGCAGCTGACCAGAACTTTGTCTCTGGGACGGGACCCTTTGTGAAAAGCGTGACCTACTGACCCGGGGCGGGCCCGGCTGCCGTCTGCGCTCCAAACAAACGCAGCAGCTGCCGCACTCCGAAGGGAAGAAACCAACACAAGCTGGGAAAAGCAGAGGATAATGACGTCATCTCACCTCTGTGTTGGAGTAGTAGGTGTTCCAGGAGGACCGGAGGGACTCCTGTCCTCCTATGTCCCACATCAGGAAGTGGGTGTTCTTCACCACGATCTCCTCCACGTTGCTGCCGATGGTGGGCGATGTGTGGACCACCTCGTTCATCAAACTGAAGTAAAAAAAGAAAGGGTGTTTCACTCCAGCTGTTCTATCAAAAGTGGTTTTTGATGCTGAAGCAGGACTCACAACTGGTAGAGGATGGTGGTTTTCCCTGCATTGTCCAGTCCCACAATGATCACCTTGTGCTCTGCAACACAAACGGCCTGATTTTCATCTCTGACCAGCAGAACACCAACTGTACTGCTGAATGTAGAAACACTACGTGGCAATGAGCTGAGTAAAAAAAAAAACTGTTTTTTCTCAATACAAAATAACCCATGTCACAGAGGGTCTTTTTTTAATTATTATTTTATTATTTATTTATTTTTAAATCACACAGGCTGAAGTTCCTTTCTGACCTCATTCTCAACCACACAGAGCAGGGAGAAAGTTACCCTCTCTTTCCCTTTTTAAGTCTCGTTTAAAAACTCACTTTTATTCGTTGGCTTTTAATTCAGTCTAACTTATTCTCTTTTTTCTTTTCGATTTAAATTACTCGATTTGAATAGATTTAGTTTTTATTTTTGATTATTGTGTTTTTGTTCAGCACTTTGGTTGGCTCTCATGCCGTGTTTAAATGTGCTACACAAATAAACTTGGTATGGTACGGTTACAGCAGCTGTGCAGCAGACTCGACCAACATGCTTAAACACTCAGAGGAAAAATTAGGACGTTTCGGCCCTTCTAGGGGCAGACAGGAAGGAAATCTGGTAAGAGGACAGACTAGATTGGCCTTCTGGTGGAGGATGTTCTTCATGTATTGCTTCCTCCTACCCTATGATGATCACAAGCAGCAACATGGGATGAAATGAGGAAATGAAAACACATAAGAGACAAAAATAGACTTCAAATACATCTGATGTTTCACAGAATTATTTCATGACAATTTGGCTTTCCTGTAACATCTTCCATCTCTATCAGTCCTCTAAACCAGCAGCTGGGGTCAGGACCTCGCTGGAGGGCAACAAGAACTACAGAGGGTCTTCAGATGATTTCCAGAAACCCAAATTAATTAGAAAAACATTTTCTGGTGCTATATTTTAGCTTAATTTTTACAAAAACCCAAAAAAATATTCATAAATGGATATAAATGAATACGAGCTGAAACATAGTTCTTTAGCCCATGACTCATTTTAAGCATCTTTGTTAACTAAAGAAACCTCTTTCACATCAAATTTGTCTTCTTGGCAAATTTTTATATTAATACGCTTGTTTTAAAATTTTCAGACAATTTGATGCAACATCTTTTTTATTGCTCAGAAAAACCTGCTAAACAGAGTTGTTTTCTATAAAGCTCGATTGTTCTGGGAAACTGGTTTCTGTTAGCTAAAACATCTTTATTAACAGTGATGCAACTTAATACAGCCTTCTCTCAGAAATCGTTCAACTGAACCCAAGAAGGTTGAATAGAGAAGCCACACGAAAAAATAAACTGCACCACTTTTTAGCTATACTTCTGCTAATCTAATTACAGTATTTGGCATCTTCTCACACCAAGATGAGACCCTTAAAGTGAATGAAACTTGACACATCTTATCCAGAATAGGAGTCTTTTCTCGCTCTAGGGCTGTTTAATGGTCACAAATCTAGAATAGATACAGAACAATCACCTAGATCTCCATGGAAAGAAAAAAGACGCACATCTACAGTAAATAAGCTTAGAGGAAGACCCCAGGAGGTTATGTAATGAGATGTGTCAGGACAGTGAGCTAAAGCTTTAGCAGAGATTTATTATTAACTGATAAACCAGATTAGCTACAACACCGAGATAATTTGAGTGTTATTTTCTTATGAAAGCAGAACAAAGAGATTTCAGGGAGCAGCTTTGATGTGCACCGAGATAATTCACCCCCCCATCTGTTGTTGCGGCTCCGCTGCTCACTTTTGTGCTAACAGACTAACGGCTCACGTTATCCCCGCTTCTTGAGCAGCTAGCGGACGGTTAGTGAGCTGTAATATTTTAGTTTCCATCGACACCCACCTTGGTTACAAAAGAAGCTCCACAGTTTCGCGAATATGAGGCCCATTGTTTGGGTTATTACAAGCCGTTACGTCCCGTCGGCAGAGCGGCCAGTAGCTCTGAGCTTCTCCGCTCTCTCGTCCACACCGTGGCTTGCGGCGGCGAGCTAACATTAGCTGGACATTTCGCTGCCCGAAAAACACCTCCTCGAGAATTTAAAGGGAGACTCCATGCGGCTCGAAAGAGTATAAAACGGAGGTTTAACGTGATGACTAATTACCGGGTAGTGTTAAAAACCACAATAGATGGAGACAGACAGGACGTTCCGTGCGGCGATGCGTTGACGTACTACTTGCGGTGGTTAGCTGCCTGCTGCCTGCCACACTGAAAAAGGTACTCCTGAGTCCTGACCATTCACTTATCTTTCCGTTACGTGGTGACGTCAAATATGTACGTACATTTTTTTAATTCTCTCAAGTTTTTTTCTTTCTTTCTTTGTAGCGTGACGTTTTGTTGTAATTGTTGATTTAATATCTTCAGGGGAAAAAAAGAAAGAAAAAAAAGAAAACTGTTGAACAAGCACTTTTGACAAAAGGTTTTTCAAACAGTTCTCTGATTGGTCTGCGTTACGTGGTCTGCGTAGTGACGCATACGGAAAAAGGACGCACAACAATTCTAGCATATGGCTGTAAGTATTGAAAAGGAGAAAAAATATGTTAAATAATATCATAATTACTTATACGTCGGTGCTTTATTTGATTTATAGTCATATAAAAATACGTTTTGGACAGGTCAGAGTGTGTTTAAGCATTTCGATGCTCTCTTTAAGATGTAATTTAAACATGTTTTATTTGCGTTGGAACCTGTGGTAGTTTTTAAAGCAAAGAAAATAGAACAATATGGATGTTTTAGTTTAGTACATCATAAATTACTGCGTTAATGTTGCAATTGAAAAAGAAAACCCTCAATTCTTTGATTGTTTGATCACAGGGGACAGCTGACTTTCCAAGAATTTCTCTGAAGCCAGAAGTTACTGAGTATCTGAGGAGTATCTTCCTAAACAAGGAGGTGAGGATTTTTCTGGGGAGAGCATTAATAACACAGAAATGGATCTCATTTTCTTAAATGGTGTATTTTAAAGTCATCAGAGCCGAAAGCTTCTTTACACATAAGTTGATTTCATCTATGTAAATGATCTTTAGGAAGTATGAATCTAAGGCGATTATCCCACAATCTATTTATAGTTTCTATAATATAAAGCATATAAATGTCATGTTTTGTGATTATTTGTTAGTTCCGTAAAGTCACAGTTTTATGAAAATTTCTAAAAATCCATGTTAAATTGTCCAGATGCTGGCTGCTGTAGGTCACCAAGAAGCAGAGTGTCGTTTCCAGAAGCTGCTCACATGTTTGTCCCACCCACCTTCATACACATGTGTCCGAGCCAGCACACATCTGGTTCCTCTGGAGGAGATCCAACGCAAGCTACACGAGGAGCTGAAGGTGAGCAGCGGGGGAGGTGGCTTTGTGTTTACGCCTTACTCGAGTCACTCATGTTGTTGTTTGTGAAGCAGCAGACAAGAGAGGTAGCGTCTGTGCAGATTGTTCCCCACCCAAGAATTGCAGATGTGCTGCTTCTTCCTGTTGATGGGCCGAGGTATGCGAGGAGTGTTGGTTTTCTGCAGACTTATGCATGCAGAAACTGAAGTGAGATCTAAATGTGTTCTTCTGTCTCCTCAGACCCGTGGAGCAGCTCAGCTCAGAGGTAGTGGTTGGCGCTCAGTGTGGCAGCGCCTTACTCAGAGGAGCTCACGTCTTTGCTCCCGGGATCATCGCCTGCCCCAAGTGTGAGAAATCACACAAACTTTTAAATCTCTTTAGTTTTTCTGATTAGAATCTCCTTATTTTCTGTCCTCAGACATGAAGGTGGGGGACAAAGTCTCTGTCTTCTCCGATTTGGAGGGAAGGTGCACACGAGGAGCCACAAGCTTCCAGGGGAACAAGGTGTTTGTGGGAAATGGAGTTGCTGAAATGAATCGCTCACACATCTTCTGCTCGGATAAACCTCTCAGGTTGTTAAACAGCGTCTAAAGAAAGGTTTAATCCTGAAACTTTGAGTGTCTGCTAAGTGAATACCAATGTTAAACTGTCTCTGTGTAATCTCAGAGGTGTCGGTGTTCGGATGGTGGACCCTCTTTACCAGAGTCCCCCTTTCGACGGCGTCTTGCCCAGCCTGGTCTTCTTACAGGTCAGAATCTTCTTGGATTCTTCGTGACTCGAAGGAATTTGGGTTTTATTGACCACACATTGTGATTGCGTGTTTTGCAGAACCTCCCCTCTGTGGTTGTGGGACACGTGCTCGGACCTCAACCCGGAGAACGGATCCTGGATATGTGCGCTGCGCCTGGAGGGAAGACCTGCCACATCGCTGCTCTCATGAGGGATCAGGTGCTGGATTAGATTCAGATTTAGGAAGTGATCGAGTCAAAAACCAGATTAAGGTTTTTTTTATTATGTTATCTGTTTTGAAACGACTCAATCTGGTCGCTTGTTCATCCCACAAATACAAACGATCTATGAAATGATCTGATACTGATACTTAATTAATTAAATTAGAGCAGCTTCTGATTATTTTCTCAATCCTGACCTGATATACGACGTTCCATCCCACATAGGGAGAAGTCGTGGCCTTGGATCGAATCCGAAACAAAGTTGAGCGGATTCGTCAGAACGCACAAACGTTGCATTTGCAAAGTATCAAAGCGTTTTGTTTCAACAGCGTTGATGCTGTGAGCGATGACCCGCCACAGCAAACCGAAGGTACCCATCAGCATCTTTGAGCGTCTCTTGAGTGTGACTGGATTAATAAATAACGATCAGCTGTTTCCGGACACAATCCAGGACCTCCTTTTCCTCCGGAGAGTTTCGACCGGGTTCTGCTGGACGCTCCCTGCAGTGGACTGGGTCAGAGACCCAACATGGCCTGCTCCTGGAGCCTCAAGGAGATCCGTTCCTACCAGCCGCTGCAGCGCAAGCTGTTCCATGCTGTAGGTGGTTCACACACAGTCAGTGAGCATTTTTGACCACTAGATGGTAGCATCAGGCATACATAGAGCTTAAATTCACATTCTGAAAGAAAAATCTGCTGAAATGTCCTCATTATATGAGCAGCTTTTCACTGGTGCTTTAATATGTGCTTCTGCAAATCCAAACACCTTCCTTAAATGAGATATTTTTGTTCTGATAGACCCCAAACATTTTAATGGTTGTTATTTACTTCAGACACACAAATAAAAATGTATTTGAGTAAAGACAATGCTAGATATTTTTAACATACTTCTTTACGAAAGTTTGTTATTTTTGCAATTTCAGAACTCTTTATAACTGTTGAAAACGATGAGTCATACAAGATGCAAGTCTAATAATTTTATTTTTCATATTTGTAGAACAGTAAGAATTTCCTATTTATCACCCTAAATGTATTAATATTTTTAAATTTAAATGACTGATTCCTGTTATATTTTTCTCTTACTGAATAGGCTCAACACTGCCCCCTAGAGGTAAACAAAATAAACGATTTACCCTTTTAAGGCGTTTTTCCTTTACTGGCCACAAGGGGGCACAACTGAACAATCTTGGTACCCAGTTTTACACAACCTTATGAAACCTACCAGCTAACTGTCTCAGTTTTGTTAAAAATGTTTCGTTTTAAAACTGAACATGAACAGGAACTTTAAAGCTAAAAGAAGAAAGCAGAGCACTTTCTCATTGCTGCACATCAAAACTTTCATCATTGATCATTGATTTTTAAAATGCATTGTTTTGCGTTTCCTGCAGGCGGTGCGATTGTTGAAGCGCGGTGGCGTTTTGGTGTACAGCACCTGCACAGTTACTCTAGCAGAGAATGAGGAGCAGGTAGCCTGGGCTCTCAGTACCTTCCCCTGCCTCACGCTGGAGCCTCAGGTAAAAACAACTAGCACTAAAATAAATACACAGAAAAACTCTCAAGAGGAGTCACGGTTGCTGCCTTTCCTCAGGAGCCTCACATCGGTGCCGAGGGCATGCTGGGAGCCGGTCTGTCGCCTGAGCAGCTTCGTCTCCTCCAGAGGTTCAGACCTGAGCTGAGCTGGGACCAGACTGAGACGAAGGTCCCACTCATCAGCAGAGTAGACGGGGACACGATTGGCTTCTTCATCGCTAAGTTCCTGAAGAACTGACTAAGTCGAGACTACGAGTGCAGAGTTGACATTAAAACGCTCAGTGTTATCAATGAGCTCGGTCCCCTTTACAGCGTCTGCCTCCTAACAGCTGCAGGCCACATACGAGTGAGGGAGAGTCTAGCGGGGGTCTCCATAACAACCGTGATGACACAGCTGCCATGGTGACGGTGGATTCTCTGGATCTGGGAATGGAGATCAGGAAGTAGCATGCAGAAAGAGGTCAGAGGAGAAATTAACAATTTAGTGTTTGGTAGAAACGACCAGGTCGAGTGGCTCTGGTGTCGGGATCAGAGCGAGCTCTTAAAGGCTCACCTGTTAGTGTTTTATATATGAAATAAAAGTTAGTTTTTATTTAAAAAAAACTTTTTCACATTTTAATTTAATCAACTTTTTAAGGTCATCTCTATTTTTTTTAAAGAGAGTTAAATTAGAGGTGGAATAGAACCAGCAACCCTCTACCAGTAAGCCACGAATATGAATAAAAATATTTTGTAAACTTCATCTTTAAGAAGAAAAGGTCAGAATTTGGTCGCTACAATAGTAACTAAATTTGTCTAATCTTACATAAAACTGCAGGAAGATTTCAACAAAATTTCAAAAACTCAGAAAACTACAACTTCTGCTCCATCGCTGGGAGGAAACCCGATTGTCTGTTTTGGTGGCAGCTCCTTGTGAGGATCTCTATTTTTTGACGCATCCCCCTCCGTGTTGTCATTGATGTCGGTGTTGTCATGACGACTCAGGGCGCAGGCTGGCGAGTCTACCTTAATTTTTCAGCAGTTTCTCGCGACTATTTTTAGACGTGTGCGAGTCTTCTGATGAAGCACATCAACATCCTCTCCAGCTGCTCCGGTTTCTCTGTTTACAGCTTAAAATCTGTCCAGTTCTAAAGATAAGCTTCATCAGTCGGAGTTAGCAGGTGGAAGCTCTTCACATGTTCTAAAGGATCCAGGTGGAGGACTTTGGATGAAAAGAAACGTCATCTGGCAGAAACTCCAAACAGTTATTTTAGAAATGAATAATTTTAATTTAAAGTGTACTGAACAAACTGTCTCGTAATGAACATTCAATGTACTGTAAGAAGTGGGAGTTCAGGTGGGACTTAAACAGCAATTATTAGAAAATGGGTCAGACTTGATAAAAGATGAACCAGAACGGAGGAATTCTCCAAGAGCTGAGCTGTCGTTTCAAATCAGAAGAAAAAGTACAGAAGAAGTTTCAGTGCTCTAAATGTTCCTGGACCCACACGAAAAACAGTTGAGCTCGTTTTTCCAGTAAGGCAAGACCAAAGGTGGTGGAAAAATGTCAAAACTAAAGGTTAGAATTTAAAAATTAAAGCTGAACGTTAAATTAAAGGTAAAGTTTGACAGTTTGGGAGAAATGCTTCCCTGCTCTTCCTAAATGTGTTTTTCAGTGTAACAATTGTAAGTATTATTACTCTTAAAGCTGGGGTACATAGTTTCAAAGCCACTTAAAGGTGCAGTATGTAAGAATATAGTGAGAATTTTACAGTGAGAAAATCGCAAAAGAGTCTAATGTTTCAGTCTTTTTGGAGGGAAGGTTATACTGAAACGTGTTTCATATCCAGCTGGCTGTGAGATTGTCAGTTTTTCTCCTTTCAAAACAAAGGAAGGAGGGACATAACTGCCGTTTACCGTCAGTGACTGTGGGGGTGTGGTGTCTCCTGCGAGCTAATACTGCAGCGCCCAAAATTGTAATTTGACAACGAGCGGCAAAAATCTCCACAGTTGTTTAAAGTGGCTGCAGTAACCAAATTTTACCACAGGATGTCATTTTTACTTAATCTCTACATAATGCACCTTTAAAAATGCTTTAATTTGACTATCTGACCCTGTTCTATAATAAAAGTAAATAATCTTTCATTGTTTACATTTCCCCAAAAGCCGCCTTTCCACCGCACATGAAAGCGCCACAAAACGGTCACGAAACATGCATCATGGCAATTAGTCGCCATTATAGTGGACAGGCTCCATTCCATCGGCAGCAAAGTCTAATGTTTTGGACGCGTCCCAGAAGATTTGGGGTGCTATCATTACGTTTCGACTCTATTTTTACGATCTACGCTTCCAAAACTTGTCAAACTCTGCAGTTCCGATCAGGTCAAACAGGAAGTGTAAAACATCCGGAAACTTTCAAAATAAAAATCTGCTGATAAACGTACATAATTTTCTGTTAAAACCCCGTAGCCGATGTAAACAGAACAGAAAATAGGCCACAGACGTTTTTAGATACATGCAGCTATCTTTCTTCTTGCTTGTAACTTCCAAAATCACGTGTGATCTTTCAATTCTCCTGTGGTTTTGTGACCTCAGGGGATCAGCTGAGTGGAACGCTTTTGCTCTTATTTAGTGTCTCCTGGTTGGAAGGGAGCTGTCGGGTAAAACTCCGTCATTTTGTAACACGTCACTTTCACATCTAATGGAAAGAGGCTCACAGGAGCCTAGAGCGCTGACCAAAATATTTGCGTATCCTCAACAGGGAGCTGTCAATCAACCAGAATGTGCCCCAGTACCCAGCGTGCACTAGGGTTAGCTTAGCACACCTACCTAGCTTGAATGCTAAATCAACTTGCATTGAATTAATGTCACACCTCATTCACACCAGCTGCAGATATGAATGCAGAGTTCTAGAAAGTTCTCGCATTTAGTCATGAAGTAAAAAAAAAAATGACATGAGCCAGACAGGAAGCGAGACATGTTTCAGCGAGATTCATCCCACAGATTCCAAAATAAAACTCGTGCTGCATTCATTTTTCCAGCTTTTTTGTTATCACTTCACTGTATGATAGTTCATGTTACTTTTACAAGTTTATATTTAAATGCGTTCTGTCAAATTTCTAATCATTTAATGCTCTAGCGGCAGCAATTTTCTGGGGACGTGCAGCACACAAACCACAGTCGGTGTAAATGGCAGTCAGATCACAATCCTGCTGGTTTTAGATGTTTTCCTGCTTCAAAGATGCAGATTTGATTAAAACAAGTGATTAGCAGCTCCTGCAGAACCCAATGAAGGCTGAGGACGTGATTCAGCAGTTTGAGCAGATGTGTCTGATAGCAACATATCAAAAACATTACTTGTCCGTTAGCGCTACGAGGCTATTTGTGTGCGCGTGTGCTGTAAGAGGCGTGGTTTAGCATCTTCCTGAAGGGAACTGGGAACTATATAAATATAAAAATCTCCTCCTCTCCTTGATGACGTTACACTACGGACCCCAGCTTTAACTGTAGTAAATGGCTTCCTCAGTGACGTTTGTCCAGATAAATCTAATAAACTGACTTCTCTAAACAGGTTTTTCCTTTTGGAAAACAAGTTTAAGTCTAAGAGAGCAAATTTCCCAAGCTGTAATTACAGCATCAACTTCAAGTGTCTGGTAGTAGTCTGAAGGAAAAATTAAAATATTCAAGTGGCGACAAGCAATACAAATGGATAATAATATTAATGCTAATCACAGAAAGCACAGCTCAGTACAAAACAAAAATTCTGCTTTGTCATGCTTCATCCAACACAGGTTTAAAATATGCATATCTTTAATATTCATGCATATCCACACATAAACACCGTTTATGCATAGATACACACATATTTATGTATTTATATCTATTTAATTAAAATCCTGAAAAAAAGATGGAGGAGCATTTACAAATAGGTGGAGATAAAAAGGGATGCTTCAGGGTCTAGCAGCATGGTGGGAGAATGGAGTGCTCTGAGGGGACTTCACTGATGGATGTAGGAGTCTCTGGTCCACTCGCCTGCCGCCTCGCCCCTCTTTTTGGGACCCACCACCCCCTCCCTGTCCTGTTCGTGGTGGTGGTGGTGTTCCCGCGCCGGGCGGTGGTGGTGGTGGGAGCGCTGCCTGTTGCGTTCGTTGTGGTCCTGCTCACGCTCCTTGCAGCGGTGGTGCGCTGTGCCGTGGCCGGCCTCATCACCTCCTCCGCTGCGGTGATGGTGGTGATGGTGATTGTGGTCCCGTTGGGGCAGCGGTTCGTGCCGCTGTTGGGGGTGCCCCTCCCCTAGATCCTCCTCCTCTTCCTCGTCCTGGTGGCGGAGTGGGACATGTGGCTCAGTGTGAGCTGAGTCTTTACTCTCTCGGCTCTCGGGGGTCTCGGAGTCCAAAGTCTCCTGCCGAGAGATGCCCTTGGCCCTGTTGTTGTGGTGGTGGTGGTGGTGGTGATGGTGGTTGTGGTGCTCAGTTCTGGTGGACGATGACCTGTGGTGGATGTGTGGGGCTCTCTTAGAGGGCTCTGTCCTTATGGGCCTTTCCTCGTCGTTGCTTTCCCCCTCAGCTTCTGCGTCGGCCTGCTCCAAGCTTCTCTGGTGGTGGTGATGGTGGTGATGATGATGATGGTGCTGGTTATCATCCTTGGAGCTCTTCTGCTCCACCAATGCTTTGTCTCCCTTCTGCTCCGAGCCGTTGCTCTGAAATTAGTAATAATAATCAGGAGTACGGCTTAAACTGAGACGTCACTAAATCTCACTGCAAACTCACATCAATTCATCAAGAAAAACTACACACACACACACGTGCACACACAAATCCATAAAACCTTCGGTCTCGTTGCGCTTCAGTCTCCAGCTTCGTCACACACTTACCACACAGACAAATTCAAGTTTAGTCCTGCTCTTCATCAACATCAGTATTGTCCTCTTTTTCAGCCTTATGAGACGGCAGTGAGTGGACAAAGAGGACAAGTTCACTTCAGTATGTTTATGAGAACTCATATTTGCACTTTCAAGGCCAGATTTCGACAAATTGTTTAAAATGTTAAAAAATCCTAATTTTTGATCAGATTTGTGTTGGTTTTGCTTCCTCAAGGAACAACAGCAAGTTTGGTCTGTTTGAATTGTGTGTGTGTGGTTTTTTTTTTGTTGTAGAAATATGTTTTTTTTTCCTCATAAAAAATGTGTAGCTCCTCAGACTTGGTTGAAGCCTAAAATGATGTACATTTTAAAAACTACAACGAAATTGTAGCCCTATAATTAAAAAGTTATAATATGTAAATATAACAGTAAAATACAAATAAAATTGGCCCTTGCCACCTGTAGTTCCTCCACCAGAGGGCAGTAGATCTGGATATTTACTCAGTTGAGAAAATGTTGCACAAATTTTTCCAATTTGTAATCCAAGCTGTCTTACATTTCTGACACACAGAAGCTAAACTTAGGAGGGTTGTAGGTGAATTTGTGAGACATTTTGTTTCAGAGATGCCGTGTTGATTGATGAAATTGCTAACCCTGGCAAACACGAGAGGCTGTGAGCTAGAGGCAGAAACTCCCTGTCCCAGGATCTGATTCTGCTGAGGCATTTGTACCTGCACACCGGAGGCTGGCGTCGGGGCAGCCGGCAGGGTGGCTGTGGGCGGATCCGTTAGCTCTAGGTCAGAAGAGCTGCAGCTCGGTGGGTGACTGCTCCTCCAGTAGGCTTCCAGAAAATCAGCCATGTGCTCACAAGCATCCTCCAGCTGGTTCTCATCCAGGATGATATCAAACATCTCCTGGGAAAAGTGAGACGATTCCGGATTAAGGAAATGAAACACATGACGAGGTCAGGAAAGAACATGGGGTCATGTTATGGAATTTCATCATTTGAGAGTTTTTCTTGGGAAATCTAAATGTGTAAAGAGCTCGCATAAAATGTCAAATGAATGTTAAACATACAATCCACTAAATTAAACTGGGATTATTTCTTTAAAACTCTAATTCCCTGTAGATATTGGCAACTATTTGAATTAAATTAAGCCTTCTCGTTCACAAGCAGGGGGTTGCTCGCTTCATTTTCTAAAATAACTAATCTGATGATTACTGAGGAATGGAAATGGAACAGGGAAAAAAACTGAGGCAGAGAGGACTAAACTGAAGTTAATTTAACACGCAGGTCCAATCCGCAGTGATTTGGCTCATCGTGGACACTCACAGACGGACACTGAGCCAACTTGTCTGCGGCCACCATCTGGACGTTCAGGTGTTTGGCCTGAGATTTGCCTCTGGACTTGATGAGCCGCTGCAGCACCTAAAAGCAAATGAGGACAGAAGACAACGTGGTTGGTTTTGACTAAATTAAATCCTAACTCAGTGAGACAATATGAGCTTTTTCTGACAGCTGTTTAAATATTCAAACCAAAAAGACAGACTTTGTTCTCAGGTCTAAGGCCTGAGAACAAATAGCAACATGGCATCCTCGCCTGCTCTAGTTAGCCTGCGTTAGTTAGCCTGGTTAGCTATCCCAGTTAGTCTGGTTGACTTGGCCCTGTTCTAATTAGCTTGGTTATCCTGCTCTAGTTAGCCTGGTTAGCATGCTACTTAGACTTGTTATCCTGCTCTAGTTAGCCTGGTATTCCTGCTCTAGTTAGCTCAGCTAGCCTGCTATAGGTGTTGTAAAGTGTGTTGGGGGGTTCTAGGACTAGAAGGTGCTATATCAAATACAAGCCATTTACCATAGCCAGGTTAGCCGAGTAAACCCGCACTAGTTAGCCGTGTTATCCTGCACCAGCTGGCCTAGTTAGCCTGCTCTACCTAGCCAGGTCAACCCACTCTATGTTGCCTGGTTAGCCTGCTTTAGTTAAACTACACTAGTTAGCTTAGTAAGGCTTCTCTAGTTCCTCTGGCTATCCTGGCTGCTATGGCTAGCCTGGTTAGCCTGCTTTAGTTAGCCTGCTTAACTTGCTTTAGTTAGCCAGCTCTAGTTAATTTCCTTTAGTTGATTTTCTGTTACATTCCCACTTGGAGCACCATTAGAACAATCTTTAAAATGATTACGCAGAAACCGTTTACGCAGAGACAAAGAACGGTTCGAAGGATCTTTCATGGCGGTGAAAACGAAGAGTCGGAGTACCCGGCCCGGAGGGTTACCGGGGTCCCACCCTGGAGCCAGGCCTGGGGTTGGGGCCCGTGAGCGAGCGCCTGGTGGCCGGGCTTTCGCCCATGGGGCCCGGCCGGGCCCAGCCCGAACCGGATACATGGGCTCGTCCAACTGTGGACTCACCACCCGCAGGAGGAACATGAAGGGTCCGGTGCAATGTGAATCGGGTGGCAGACCAAGGCGGGAGCCTTGGCGGTCCAATCCCCGGACAAGGAAACTAGTTTTTGGGACATGGAACGTCACCTCGCTGGTGGGGAAGGAGCCGGAGCTTGTGGCAGAGGTTGAGCGGTACCGGCTAGATATAGTCGGACTCACCTCGACACATTGCATTGGCTCTGGAACCCGAGACCTGGAGAGGGGTTGGACACTCTACTTTGCTGGAGTTGCTCCGGGTGAGAGGCGGAGGGCTGGGGTTGGCTTTTTGTTAGCCCCGAGATTCTCTGCCTGTGTGTTGGGGTTTACCCCGGGGGACAAGAGGGTAGCTTCCTTGCGCCTTCGGGTCGGGGAACGGGTCCTGACTGTTGTTTGTGCTTATGGGCCAAATATCAGTTCAGAGTACCCACCCTTTTTGGAGTCCCTGGGACGAGTGCTAGATAGTGCTCCATCAGGGGACTCCATTGTCCTGCTGGGGGACTTCAATGCTCACGTGGGCAATGACAGCTTGACCTGGAGGGGTGTGATTGGGAGGAACGGCCCACCTGATCAGAACTCGAGCGGTGTTTTGTTATTGGACTTCTGTGCAAGCCGCAGTTTGGCCATAACGAACACCATGTTCGAACATAAGGATGCCCACCGGTACACTTGGTACCAGGGCAGCCTAGGTCACAGGTCGATGATAGATTTTGTAGTCGTATCATCTGACCTGCGGCCGTATGTTTTGGACACCCGAGTGAAGAGAGGGGCGGAGCTGTCAACTGATCACCACCTGGTGGTGAGTTGGATCAGATGGCAAGGGAACATGCCGCGTAGACCTGGCAGACCCAAACGCATAGTGAGGGTCTGCTGGGAACGCCTGGCAGAAGAACCTGTCAAGACGGTCTTCAACTCCCACCTCCGGCAGAGCTTTGACCACGTCCCGAGAGCAGTGGGGGACATTGAGTCCGAGTGGGCCTTGTTCCACTCTGCGATTGTCGAGGCGGCTGTTGCTAGCTGTGGTCGTAAGGTGGCCGGTGCCAGTCGTGGTGGCAACCCCCGTACCCGCTGGTGGACACCAGAGGTTCGGGGAGCCGTCAGGCTGAAGAAGGAGGCCTACAGGGCGTGGCTGGTCTGTGGGTCTCCGGAGGCAGCAGACAGGTACCGGATAGCCAAGCGGGGTGCAGCAGTGGCAGTTGCCGAGGCAAAATCTCGGGCGTGGGAGGAGTTTGGTGAGGCCATGGAGAAAGACTATCGATCGGCTCCAAAGAGGTTCTGGCAAACTGTCCGGCGCCTCAGGAGAGGAAGGCAGCAACTCGCTCACACTGTTTACAGTGGGGATGGGGAGCTGCTGACGTCAACTGAGGCTATAGTCGGACGGTGGAAGGAATACTTTGAGGAGCTCCTCAATCCCACCAATGCGCATTCCGAGGAGGAACCAGAGCTGGGAGGCCTGGGGATGGACTGTCCGATCTCGGGGGCAGAAGTTGCTGAGGTAGTCAAACAACTACACAGCGGCGGAGCCCCGGGGGCGGATGAGGTTCGTCCTGGGTATCTCAAGGCTATGGATGTTGTAGGGCTGTCATGGTTGACACGTCTCTACAACATTGCGTGGTCATCGGGGGCAGTTCCTAGGGAGTGGCAGACCGGGGTGGTGGTCCCCATCTTTAAGAAGGGTGACCTGAGGGTGTGTTCCAACTATAGGGGGATCACACTCCTCAGCCTCCCTGGAAAGGTCTACGCCAAGGTACTGGAGAGGAGGGTCCGATCGATAGTTGAATCTCAGATAGAGGAGGAGCAATGTGGTTTTCGTCCTGGCCGTGGAACTGTGGACCAGCTCTATACCCTTGCAAGGGTGATGGAGGGGGCATGGGAGTTTGCCCAACCAATCCACATGTGCTTTGTGGATTTGGAGAAGGCTTATGACCGTGTCCCCAGGGGCACCCTGTGGGGGACGCTCCAGGAGTATGGGGTGGGTGGCTTTCTGTTAAGGGCCATTCAGTCCCTTTACAAGAGGAGCGTGAGTTTGGTCCGCATAGCCGGTAGTAAGTCGGACCTGTTCCCAGTGAGGGTTGGACTCCGCCAGGGCTGCCCTTTGTCACCGGTTCTGTTCATCACTTTTATGGACAGAATTTCTAGACGCAGCCGTGGTGTGGAGTGTGTCGAGTTTGGTGGCAGGAGAATCTCGTCTCTGCTTTTTGCGGATGATGTGGTCCTCCTAGCTTCATCCAGCTCTGACCTTCAGCTCTTGCTGGGTAGGTTCGCGGCCGAATGTGAAGCGGCTGGGATGAGGATCAGCACCTCCAAATCTGAGACCATGGTTCTCGACCGGAAAAGGGTGGCTTGCCACCTCCGGGTCGGGGGAGAGGTCCTACCTCAAGTGGAGGAGTTTAAGTATCTCGGGGTCTTGTTCACGAGTGAGGGTAGGAGGGATCGGGAGATCGACAGGCGGATTGGTTCGGCGTCTGCAGTGATGCGGACGCTGAGCCGATCTGTCGTGGGGAAGAGGGAGCTGAGCCAGAAAGCCAGGCTCTCGATTTACCGGTCGATCTACGTCCCAATCCTCACCTATGGTCATGAGCTTTGGGTAATGACCGAAAGAACGAGATCGCGGATACAAGCGGCCGAAATGAGTTTCCTCCGTAGGGTGGCCGGGCTCAGCCTTAGAGATAGGGTGAGGAGCTCGGACATTCGGGAGGGACTCGGAGTAGAACCGCTGCTCCTCCGGATCGAAAGGAGCCAGTTGAGGTGGTTTGGGCATCTGGTCAGGATGCCTCCTGGACGCCTCCCCGGGGAGGTGTTTCGGGCATGTCCTGCCGGCAGAAGGCCCCCGGGTCGACCCAGGACACGTTGGAGAAGTTACATCTCCAATCTGGTCCGGGAACGCCTTGGGGTCCTGCCGGAGGAGCTGGTGGACAAGGCCGGGGAGAGGACGGCCTGGAGCTCCCTAGTTGGGATGCTGCCCCCGCGACCCGGACCCGGATAAGCGGAGGAAGACGACGACGAGAAACCGTTTTTTGTCAAAACGTTATGATTACAAACTTGGCTTTTAATAAATAATCTAAATTTAAAAGAAGGTTTCAAACTCTAAATGCTCAAGTAAAGAATGCTAATTAAAATAACTACCTCCGCCCTCTTGGTCTGCTAGGCAACAGCATTTGTTGCATTTTTCAAACAGAAAGTGGGAGTTGAGTAAGAATCTGGTAGGGGGTGACTTGCTCTTTAAATTAATCGAGTTTCCCTTCAGTTGGCTTCTACTTTTGATCCATCTGTTGTGTTAAATGATAACTTTCTCGTACACTGTGGTCTTTTGCCCCCAATGCTTAAAATCTAACACTTTTGGTTTTTTATGAAAAGCTGCAGGGTGCAGTTGAGAGGACGGCTGATAAAGAGAAATTTATTAGATCCCGCTGTGAGAGTGATTCACTGTGCTGCTACTGGGCCTGCGTTTTACGGCTCTTTAGTAATGCCTTCGTTCATTTTCATTGATCTCTGAATCATCATCAGACTTTTTAACACTTGCTGAAGGTCAGAATGATGACTCAGTCCTTTCTGACATCCCTCGCTTACAAACCAGCAGTCACACCTCACATGTTGAATTTAAGATTATAGCCTGGGAGCTGTTACAGGAAAACATGACACAACATAACAGTTCATAACAACAAGGCAAACATGACATTTTACATGGCAACAAACTGTCTTTGCTTCATTTTGCCTTCCTTATATGTTTCAGATGAAAAAAATAACTTTTGTAAAAACAACAAAGAGTATTTAAATGTTATTTAATTTACTATGAGACCAAACTAACCTGGCCCTGTTTGGGAAAAACTAGCTACATCCTGATTCCTCCCAGACTCCAGTAGTTCCTGAGTGACAATATGAAGTACGCTAAAAGATCTCAAAAAGTAACACATCTCCCCTCGGTCTAAAGAAATTCCTGAACAAATAAAAACAATTTCAACACCTAAAGCACTATAGGCCTCACTTGATTTAGATTAGGGTCGTAAGGTGATAGACGCACTTTCCCAGCATCCCTTGCAGCATCCCTTACCACCAGCGGCATTTCAGGTGCAAATTAGCAGCGAAAGTGTTCCACCAACTGGTTCTACAAAGTCCCGAACTCACCAGAGAATTGCAAGATCACACGCAATTTCACCGGTTAACGCGATAAAAGGCTAGACGAAAGATGGCAGCATGTATCTAAAAGGCTGCGGTTTATTTTCTGTTAATTTTACCTCAGCCAGGAAGGCATCACAGGTAATGACATTTTTTATTTTACCATTTAATTAAATGGAAATCTGAAAGTGTTTTTTTATTTTCTAAAGTTGCCTGATGTTGTACACTGCTCCTGTGTTTGACGTCCTGACTGGTCCGATCTGAAGTGTGGAGCCTGATGCGTTCTGGAAGCGTAGCGTGTAAAAAAATAGACCCGAAGCAGAAATTTTGTGGATTAATGCAACCCTACGCTCCTGAGACACATCCAAGACACGTCACTTAGCAGTCAGACGAAACACATCCCTAGACTATACCGGCGGCTATTAGTTGTATATTTCGCTTCATGGAAAGTCGCATCCATTGGAAAGTCGGGGTAAGAAAATGGGCATAAACTCACAAAACGGCGTCAGTGCGGAGACTCGCAATGCCATTATGCGTTGGCACAAGGGCTCTCCGACAAGCCCCTCGAGGGTGACAGGAACTATGGGTTTAGAGGTGGTGTAGAGAATGGAGGACACATTTGTGTGTTATAAATTATGTGAAATATATAAACACTTTAGTAAATACATTATTGTGGATCGGATACATGAGTGTAATGCTGGCATGAACCACAGAAAGGTGCTACGCCCTCTGTTGTCCTGGAGGGGAATTGCTTTGCAACAGTCTACAAGTGACGGACAATTCCAAGAGCAAAACGTCTCCGTCAACCCGTGTGAGCCTTTCCTTTGCGGAGCTGACAGAGAAGTATAAATCATACTTAATACTGCATGTCTGAGAAAAATAATCATTACAGTCAAACATGGTGTTGGTAGTGTCATTGTCTGGGGCTACCTTGCTGCTTCTGTAACTAATGAAACCGAATGAGAGCGTCTGACCGTTGACCTCAAACAGGCTGTTTATGATGGAAAAACTCCAATGTGGCTGAATAGAAAAAAATTCTTTGAACATCTTAGGTGTGTTCTTGCTGTGTCTTTCTAAATCCATGCTTTCGTTCTTTTTTAAACACAGAAACAGTTTTGTTTACCTGTTTGTAGCTACAGTTTCGCCGACGGCTGCCGGCTTCTTCAAACTGTAGCTACAAACAGGTAAACAAAACTGTTTCTGTGTTTAAAAAAGAACGAAAGCATAGAAAAAAATTCTGCAAACAAGAGTGATATAAAAGTCCTCCACAGCCATGTGAGAGACTCATTACCATACGGCGAGGTTGGTTTGGATAGATTCACTCAGGGGATCTTTTTCTGATATTGAAATTAGATTTTTTTCTTTCCTCTGAAACATTTAAGTGTGACTCCAAATAAGAAAATCAGAATAAATTTGTCCGGGGAGAATCCTTTGACCAGTACTTCCCTGGTTTTCCTCACCTTAGGTGAGGTGATCTTGACGTAGACGATGATGGGGGCGAGAGAGGTTTTCCCCAGCTGAGACGGGTGGTTGATGGTGTCGGCGTCCAGAACCACCAGCTGTAACGTCCGCGCCAGTTCAAAAATGCGCTCAATCTCACTTTGAACTTCAGCTGAGAGAGAGAGATTTTATTAGTAACACGTCTGAAAACATCTTCATTGATATGTTTTCCAGTGGAGGAGCATCTGTCATGTAGAAACAGTGCAGAAAATGCATTTATCTTCAGAAAAACCTCACTGACTGTCCCATCTCCATCTGTGGACTTACAGAAACCTTAAAGCCTTCAGAGTAAAGACCAACAGGGTAAAGAAAACGCCACAGCTCACTCTATGGAGGATGGTGCTTTGCAAAAATCACAATTAGGAATGCCCAGTCACAACTACGTCTGGAGGAGAACGTTCCAACCTAAGTGTCATTTTTAGTTACAACCGGGAGAAGATTACTTGTTACTTGATGGATTTTGTTCTTCTTCCTCAGATGAAGCTGCTGACTAATTCTTCTGGTGATAAATAGCAGAAATTAGCCTCTGGTTGACTTCAAAAGTTCATAATCAGGTTTAAACTCCAATCAGCCTCAGTCAAATCAGAGTTCCTGAACTTGTTATCTTGCATTTATTCTTAATCTTTCATTCCCAACATAAGAGGCCAGCCAAGGCCACTCAAAGCCTTGAGGATATCGAGGTATCCTTAATTGTTTCCTTCCTTCTTAAAGGGAACTGGTCTCATTGAAATCATCATCAATCAAAAAGAAATTTCCAGGCGTAGTGGGGGTTTAGAATAAACCTACCTAAGTTGGAGCGCGTGTTAGAGCGCTCGATGATGGCGTGCTTGCTGGGATTGTTCAGGACTGAGCGTTTGGCAAGTGAGATGTCTGCTGTGACACGAGTGATGGATATTCTGAGGAAAAAAAAAAAAGAGTTTTCATTTAGTGGCGTTGATTGAATGGAATTTTTTTCACGGCATTCCTGAAATCCAAAAGACATGAATGGAAAATCATTTTACAACCGGCAGTTCTTCACTCACCCAAAACTAACAAGCTAAAATGAGTTCATACCCAAATGAAATGCTGATTTTATCCAGGTCCGGTGTTGGTGTGAGTTGTTGGCGAAGAAAGAAATACTTTTGAAATCATGCATAAAATTGGTGGACTTTCTAGGATAACTGGGAATTTTAATTGTTTCAGAAGGAGTGTCTTAACAGAAACATTTTGAGAATTAAAAAAAAACTGTATTTGATCTGGGAAAGAATATTTTAAAGACCCAAAGCTTCACTATGAATTTAAGTATCCTGCAAATCCTTCATGTACGCCATCAAATAATCAGAAAAATCTTTCTTTTAACTTTATTTTTGTTTTCAGTTTTCTGCCAGAGAAGCTCATCAGTGTTGTGGACATCTTTAAACGAATCCAATCATCATGCAGTTACAGGTCAGCTGTGATTAAAAAAAAAAAAAAAACAGGCATTTTTGGCTTGCATTTAACACCCCCTCATGTCAGTTTGTAGAAATGAAAGCAAGACCTGTCTCCTTACTGTGCGTTCATCTTTTTAACACTTTAATATGTGTTTGTGAATGTGTTGTGAAACATCTTGAGGGGTTGGAACCCTAAGAAGCACAGGCCATTTACTGAAATGTCTCCCCAGCCTTTCTCTACAGGAGTGATTCATCACTAAATTTAAACAAATAAGCTGCATTCATGATCTAAAATATGCAGAAAACGTACTGGAACCAAACTGCAGCACCAGGTATGTCAGCTCAAAATCAAAAATCAAAAGTCCCAACCAAGCGGCCCAGTCTGAAGTGGAACAGTCTGGCCATAGAGGGCGATAGGGGCTGGGTGGCCTTTCTTTAACCCTTTGAAGGGCAATTTTAGCACACACTGGCTCAGGAAAGTGTGATTCTTTCATGTTACTAATTACTTTCACTTGCAGTCAGTCTGATCATTTGTCACCAAGCAGAATTTGGTTCACTACTGAGTGATTTTAAGGACTTGTATTGCTAGCTGGATCCATTCACTTACTGTGTTTCATGCTAAGCTAATGCTAAAGAAGTACAGCTGGGTCAGGAGAATGATTGGGCTGGTTAAAAAAAGTTTTGTCCCACTTATCTAACTCTGGGAAATATGTCAACAGACAAAATTTCATTTTTGGATGGAATATCCCCTTAACCACAGCAAACTATGATGGACACTAGGGGGTGCTAAAAGCAAGCAAAACTGCAAAGTGTGCCTTTAAAATGCGTATCTCGGGTTTTTGCATAAACCCTAAATGGAACAAAATAGACAAGAAGTTGCTATTTACTTACTAAATAAATTAGATTTAAATAAAGCTCATAAAAGTAAAAACAATGAACACATAAAAATTATTAATTTATTATCTGATTACTTTTTTGATATTTTTATAGAAATTTGTTCGTTCCATGGTTGATTTATGGGAATTTTGCAAAAAGAGTAATGCAGATACACCCATAACTATATCTGTTAGCAGTAGGTCACTAACCTGCATCTTTTAAATCAAATATTTCTGGAATTGTGACCACGAATTGGCATCACTTTTGTTACCTTGGAAACCACAGTTGCATAAAGATCCGTCTGTCTGATCTGTGTGAGTAAGCTGTCAACTTGGCAAGGAGAGCAAACAGTTTCCACACGTAAAAGGTAGGATAAAAGGGACTTTATTAATTTGTTCTTGTTCGAATCAGTGCTGTAAACTCAGAAATCAAACAACAAAGTCGCGTATTTACTGACTTTACTGTTTCCTTTTTCAAAAATAACACTTTCATGCTGAAGGTTGTTTAGAAAGGATCAAACTAAAGAAAATAGGGATAATTTTACTTTATCCAATTAACATGGTCTCATAAATGGTTTTCTTGACTGATCTTTTTTATATTGCAACTTGTGTTTTCTGAGACCAACTGTTTATGTTTCAAAATTTCAAAGGTAAATAATGGATGGAGGTGGAATGGACACCATGCCCAGCAGCACAATGGCATCACAGCTGGAGGTAATTCAGTGTTACCTTATTTTTTTTGGAATCCTACAACTGGTAGAAGAAATATAAAAACTGTTTTTTTAGAGTTTTCCTCTGGATCTTTTCTATTTAGCACAGCAAAGCATTGTGGGGTAGTTCACTAGTATAAACCGTTAGGTGATGACGCTTTTTATTTTTGAAAATAAAAATGCACATTGTTGTTGTTTTGTTTTTCATTTAAGTGAGAGCAACCCTCCTCGTGATGGTGAAGCAGCTGGTTCCTCTGGAAACAACTGCAACCAGTGTGAGAAGCGTTACTGTCATCCAGATCATTTGAAAATTCACCAGATCATCCACGCTGCAGAAAGAGTTCTCTACTGTGACCAGTGTGGGAAGAGTTTTCGTTGGTTGACAAGTTTACAAGGACACCTGGTCATCCACAGTGACGCAAGACCGTACATCTGTCACTCATGTGGTGAGTTTCAAGTGCAAGAGTAGCCTGAAGAAGCACAAGAACTCAAACACACGAAAAACTCCATCAATCAGTGTTAATGTGCACTGCAACCACCATCTCAGCATTTTAGCATTCTGCAATAAACTAACAGGTTGTTTTTGATGTGGTTTCAATAAAATTCAGTTGCATTCAACTCAAAAGTTTGATTCCTGCAAAAATGAGAACTCTAAAACAAGTCAAGAAAATTATTTAAAAATGTGAAAAAGTTGTGTAGTATGGCTTTAAAGCAGAAATCCAAAGATTTTTGTCAGAGGACCCCATCTAGAGGTGGAAAAATGTATTGCACCTTAAGCCCCTCTCCCTACATCTGTGATTAAGGCTGGAACCAATGCCTCTTGTTCAATTACATGCCCCTCCCAACCAGCCAACAGAGCTAAAAGACAGTTTTACAATTATTCGCAATAATTATTGTCATCAAATTGCATGGGCCTCTATGGGACGGGGTACGCGCTACGAAAAAAAAAACCCCAGTGTATTACAGGGTGAAACTATGAATGTCACAGATTTCTAAAAAAAATTACACGTAATTCCTGAAAGAGGAAAACTTATAATTCTTCATGTAAGTGATTGGACCAAGTACGGAAAAGGACAAGCATCAACTGACAAATTAGGGGAAAAAAGAAAAACAAACCTCCAAATAAAATAAAAATGCACAACATTTTATTAAAGGATTAAGATAAAATAAACAGCTTTTTGTAGAGCTACTAAGTGGATCTTGGTGTTGTATAACAGGTCTGAACACTGTTGTGCTGCAGGGCCCACTATAGCCTATTAAGGACATGGAGAGGGCCTATTTAAAGCAGCAGCACACATCTCCAGGCCAAACAAACTTGTTACACACTCTCTCTTGCTAACCCCTGGGGGACAAATAAATACCAGCCTACAGACACGCTGAGAAGAACGGGGAAGGAAGTGGGATCAGAGATCACTTACCTTCCCTCGAATCGATGTTTCAAAAAGTCAAACAGTGCTTTTTGCATCATGTCTGTTACCTGTTGGCACAAGAATCAAAAACAGTAAACACCAGACATTTGTTCAGTTATAAATGAACAAATGTTGAAGGTCAAAGGCACCTCATAGCCCTTCAGCGACGGTCCAACCAGAACCACGGGCCGCATAGAAGGCACAACATCATACGGCGGAATGTGTTCCATCTTTGAAAGGCAGGAGAAGAAGTAGTGACTCAATCACACAATCGAAATAAAACAAGATCAACACAAATCATTTCATAACAAGTAAACAAAAACTGGAACCACGAAACGAGCCTGGTGGAACACCAGCAGGCTTTGATGTATAAACAGATTAATCAGTTGCCTCCTCAAATTTTTACCTTGTTTTTCAATTTTTTTTTCTTTTTAAAAAGTTCATATCAGAAATCAAATTTAGGACTTAACCCTCGTGTCGTGGTTCTGGTGTTACTGAACACAAAGGAACGGTTAGTGAGAGAGGGAGCGAGACAGAAGGTCAGCAGGGTCAAAACCTTCAGGACGGAGGGAACGTGCAGTCAGGACAGGGTGGGAATTCTGTTTTAGGAGCAGATTCTGTTTTAGTTTACCATCATCAGTGGTCTCAGTCCTTGATCCGGTTTCTACTTTAAACCTTGATTTCATTTGGCGTCATGCTCAAACTGACCTATTTATTTTTACACGAGAGGTTTGCCATTTGTAAAAACAAATTCACTTAAGTTATTTTGGCATCAGCGGTACAATAACTTGTTCCAGGATCCTACATGCCTTTATTTGTCTTTGGAAGTAAACTGATTAAGTGTGACGCTTGAATAACGGATTAGATGTAATAAGGGAAACATTTCAGCCCATTTATTATTTTGGAACCTTTTACTTCTGAAGACATATTCATTTAATGTGCAGCTATTAAATTTGAAACCAGCCTAATCTTTAGAAAAGTTCATCTATTTCAACACACTTAGTTAGATTCCAGGCAGCTGGGGTCAAGGACCTTTATTTTCTAACTCACGCTAATGCTGGAGCTCCTCGCTCAGTTTGTTTTGTCTTCCTGATAAGTGTTTCACTGGAGTTATTATGACTTCTTTCTTGTAGTCCATCACCTCTTCTTGCTCATCAACCCACCTCTACACATTTGCTGTTGTCACTGAGCCTCCCTAGGGATGCTGTGGGAACTGCTGCATCCATCACAGAAGAACGGGGCTCTGCTCAAATACTTTTGTAGATCTGGGTAATCCCACTGTGAAACAAGGCTAAACTGACATTTGGAGTTAAAAATCCACCAAGTAACCATCAGATTTTAACAGATTTTTTAACCCCAAAAGGGGGGGATAAACACGTAAGAGTTTTTAACTCTTTAAAGGGACAATGTGTAGTTTTTGTAATTAATCTCTGGAAATAGTCATTAAAATATTGTTGAAAATGAATTAAATGACGCCCAGTTGTTGAAAATATTGGTGGTTAGTAACACATAACCATAAAAGCCAGGTCTAATAAACATGGAAGCGGGTCCAAGTCTCTGGGCAACGCCATATTAGATGCCATGTTTCCATCTATGGGAGCCCATGAGGACAAAACACATTTACTGATTTTTAACAAATGGTTACAAAACTTTCACCATTAATAAACATTGTTGTTTTACACATTTACCTCTTCAATCATTGCCACTGACGAAAGGAAGTCTGATGTGCTTGTCATTTTGCTGAAGTTTGCACTACCCAGGCCTTTTTGACCCTAATGGGCATCCGTTGGTAAGATCTTACTCCAACACAAAAATACTGCTTGGTTGCAACAATTTAGGTATCTACTGACCCCTATCGCCAGGAAAAATACACACTGTCACTTTAAAGCTGCTGTCTGGACTTTTCCCTTTTCAGGAATTAAGAATGATTTTTCAGAAATCCATAAAAGTGATTCTCTTATCATTTACTGTGATATAATGTAGGAAATACTTCTTTTTTTTATTTATTTTTTTCTAAGCCCGCCCCCAGTCCTATAGAGCTCAATGCAAAATGAACTGAGTGCTGGACAGCAGTAACCAATAGCGTTAGACTACCGTTTACATACAGACGTTAATTATAGAGCGTGCTCAAGCGTTTATGGATGTACCTCGGTTGATGCAGAGTTGGTGACCTTTCTCATGAACAAGAAAGTCTTTAAAATATAAATACCGTATTTTCCGGAGTATAAGTCGCACCAGGCATAAAATGTATAATGAAGAAGAAAAAACATATAAGTCGCACTGGACTACAAGTCGCATTTTGGGGGTAATTTTTATAATTTTTCTTACAAAATCTGAGACCAAGCATTTCACATTGCAAGACAAGTACCGATAATAACAGAATAAACAACCAGGGCACAGCAGCGCACCACGGTCTCCAGCAGAGGATGGCAGTGTTTCAAACCTTCCCAGCGGGCTGGGAGAGTGCCCACAGCACCCCACCACAGGCTGCAGCAGGTGATGGCGGTGTTTGAAACCCTCCCTGCAGGGCAGAGGAGCTGAAACCTGGACCGGAGCCAGCCCGTTGCAACGCGCAATGGACTCCAGCAGGTGATGGCGGGGCAGGGGAGCTCATTCCTGGTCTGGAGCCTGCCCGCAGCAGCGCGGTATATACATAATTTGGTATACAAGTCACTTTGGTATATAAGTCACAGGACCAGCCATACTAAGAAAAAAAGTGCGACTTATAATCCGGAAATTATGGTATATTAATATACAACATAACATAATGTGCATAATAATTGCAAACCAATGTGTTTTAGCTGTTTTGTTGGCTAGAGGAGCGCGATTATGAACAAGAGGTGTTGCTTTTGGCCTTGAATACGGAAGTGAAAGTAGGTCAAGATGTGATGTGCTTGTCAGCCAATAGTGCAATCAGATAAAAGAAATAATCTGGACAGCGACTTTAAGCTATTACTTTCAAACAGGTTTCAGAGGTTCTTGAGCAAATTCACATGGGACATCACTCTGAAGCATTTTGCTGACCAGAAACTCCACAACAACTTTTCTGGTTCATGTTGTGGAAACCTGCTTTACGGCAGCTCTTAGCTTATACAAAGGCCAGCAGTTAGCCTTTTCAGTTAGCTAACCGTCAGTAAAAACTGCAAGAAAACGAATATTTTTTCTTTTTTGTTGGCATCATGGTGGAGCTGGATAGTATATATAAGAGAGTACTGTCTTTGGAGCTGATGCAAAAAGCTTAAAACAGAGTGAACATTGGCACGGCCTACACTCGTTTGAAGGAGCTTAAGGAGGCTACAAAATCACGAACTGATGGTGATCTTGCGTTGTTGCTACTGGACTTGTAAGTAATCATACTTTTTGTCCAACAGTGTGGCTCTTTTAACTTTGTGGCTTATTTAGTATCAGTTGGCTCGTGTTATCATTAGCTTGTTGTTGTTAGCATTAGCAACAGCAGGCTGCTGCAGGGTGGTTTACGCCAGTAATTCTGCTAATGTTCCAGTGTTGCACAAAGGGATGCCTGAAATATCAATACACTAAAATATCACAATATTTGTGTTATGATACAGAACTGATTTTAAAAAGCTGTTTATCAATTTTTATTAAGAATTTACATGCAAATTTCTTTGTGGTGCAGTTCAAACTGACTGCTGAAGGAACACCGTCATCTCGTGATAATACTGGATGTGTCTTGGAAAAGTCTAGCCTGACTTTTTCAATTAAATTCAGTCTTAAAAATTGCAAATGTTATCTGGCTGTAGTATCGCAATATATCATATTGTCTCATCTGTACTGTGATATATATTGTATCACCAGATTTGTGCCAATTTAAATAAATGTAAACGTACAAGAACATAATTTCTATCACTTATTTGGGACAAAATCATTTTTTTTATGAAATATTGATGAAATACTGCTCACAATAGAATCCCACCAAGTCAGCACCACAAACAATCACAAACGGTGGTTGGCAGGAATTGCGAGAAGTTCAGTACAGAGGTGAAAATGTGTTGGTTTGCACAGATCCACGGATCCTGCCGTGATGCTGCTCTGCCAACCAAAACTTACCGACTTTAACCTCTGCTTAGCTGTGGTGGGACGGAGAAGGAAAAAGAAAGAGGTTAAGAACAGGCATGCATGCTAGTAGCATAGTGAGTGCTCAAGGTTGAGGACAAAGGTGTTGACAAACAGGACGGGTGCCGAGGGACGGCGAGTAGTCGCAGGCATTTCAACCCGAACTGTGCCGACAGAGAAGAAGAGAAGGTGATCTGGTCCACAGTTTACCTTCTTAAAGAAGGGCATTCGTTTCTCTTTTGCTAAAGGTGATAAAACAGTATTTGGACTGGCTTTAGGGGAGCGCAGGTTGACTTGAAGCTCACTGTCCTCTGCGTCTAAACCTGTGGCGTCTATGTCAACAGCTATCCACACAGACAGACAAGAGTAACATCACAAAGACGTGATCACGACTGGAAACGTTCACAGAACGTAGATACTACAGAGAGAGTGAACGAAACATTGAAATATGTTGGAATTTTAATGCATTTCACCTTGATTTCACTTGTTAAATGATAGTTGAGAGTATATAAAAAGTGTATAATGGATTTATTTTTACTCACCAGATGAAGGAGGAGTTGATTTCCTTGAGTTAGAAACCACTTCACCTAAACTAGATGATGAGTTTGCTCCTAGTTTACTGAAACAAAAGTCATACGAGTCTAATTAAACTTTAGTTTCTCTTAAAGGGACTTGTTTGTGGGACTTGTGCTTCTTACCTGGAGTAGAACTTGCCCTGTTTGGCTCTCTGCTCCTGGAGGATGCGAGTGTTTTCGAGCTTCACCGGGCTGGGAATGAAGCCAATGTCACAGCCTTCTTTCACCAGGCGCCCTATCCACCAGTCGTTGTTGAATTTCTACACAAAATATTGCACCAAAGCCATGATGACCATCCTTATTATTAGCATTTTATTGCAATGCCGACAGGAAAGTCAGTCACATCACCTCTTTGACGTGAAGGAAGTCTTTAGCTTCAAAGGAGACGGCCATCCCTGGCACAGGGACATCGTCATCATTACTCGGGCTGTAGCTGACATTTGTGCGAACAGCAAATGCAACTGCTTTGGTCTACCAGGAGGCATAAAACAGACAAATGCAAATGTCAGGTCGTGTGTGTGTGTGTGTGTGTGTGTGTGTGTGTGTGTGTGTAATTTTCGATCTTTTGTTTATTTTTGGTCAGCTGGGATTTCTTGTGTTTGTTCAAAGTATTAAACTAACTTGAGATAAGCGACTCATCTTCTTAAAGGTACATTATGTAGAAATGAAGTAAAAAATACATCCTCTGTGGTAAAAATTTAATTAAACAACTCTGGAGCTTTTTGCAGGCTGTTGTCAAATTACAATTATCTGCGCTGCAGTAGCAGCTCGCAGCAGACATGGCAACCCCACTCTCACCAGTGGTAAACAGCAGTTACGTCCCTCCTTCCATTGTTTTGAAATGAGAAAAATTGACAATCCCTGCAGCCAGCTGGATATGAAATATGTTTCAGTATAACCTTCCTTCCAAAATGACTGAAACTTTAGACTCATTAGGGATTTTCTCACTTTAAAATTCTCACTTGTTAATTCCTCTTGAAAAATGATAAATGACCACTTGTATAGCGGCTCTCAGAGTAAGGACTCCAAAGCGCTTTACACTACAGTGTACCATTCATCCATTCACACACACATTCACACACTGATGGTGATGAGCTACGATGTCGCCACAGCTGCCCTGGGGCGCACTGACAGAGGCGAGGCTGCGGAGCACAGGCGCCGCCGGTCCCTCCGACCACCACCAGCAGGCAAGGTGGGTTAAGTGTCTTGCCCAAGGACACAACAGCAGAATTCTCTGTCTGAAGCCGAGATCGAACCTGCAACCTTCCGATTACTGGACAACCCGCTCAACCTGTTGAGCTACTGCTGAAAAATTGATGTTCACAAAATGTTGCATAACATTTATTTAGTCGTGTCAAGGTGCTGTAGGAGCGTGCACTAGCACCGTGTCCTCAGAGAGATTAGTTATTATTTATCAGCGTGAGGAACTTATTTCTATCTATTTCTACCTTATGTAGGAACTATTTATTTACAGGTCCATCAGTTAATGTAAGAATTGTCCCAACCACAGCTGCATCCCCCACCCCCCAACCTGGTCTCACAGCAATCAGGAGCAAGCTGCACGTGTGTTTAGTGCGCTGCACGCGCACATTTAGCCATTTTTAGCGGCTCAGGAGCCCGCAGGTACGGTGTGTGTCACTTACTCTGGTTAATCCAACAGGGAGCCCGTGTTCTGTCCAGTCTGTCAGACAGGCATACTGTGTAATACGGGTATGACAGTCTGTCAAGGTATGGCGACTGGACAGAACACCGGCTCCGGGAGCCGTTTCTTTAGCGACCGACACATCACTACATCATTCCTCCTTCCTAATGTCCTGAAGAACGGTCCGGAGTGCGGAGTGTTTAGCTAACCTTTAGGAAATGTCAACTACAGTTATCCAGAAAGTAGCTAAGGGTTACCAGAGATGTTTCTGAGGTGTTCGCTAGTACTTTTAAGATTTAAAAAGTCAAGAAGGGGGCCTGAAAAGCTCTTAGAAATAGCGTCAAAGTCGCCAAGTTGGCAACACTGTGGGAGGAGCGCTTAATTTGCAACTCATGGCAGCGCAAGTGGGAGGAGCAAATAATCGGCTTGTTTTGTTTTTATAATCGTTCAAAACTCAGATCGTAATTGGGATTAAAATTCGATTAATTGAGCAGCCCTAACTTTTATAATAATGAACCGTTATAATAACGAATACTGGATGATGCAATGAAATACGTAAATAATCATATGGTTGAATGAACAATATTGGCTGAAGAATAATAACAATGTTTTGATTAATCTGTGCTTAAATGACTGAAGTTGAAATGAACATTATTATGTTATAATCAGCAGTACGTGACTTGACCGCTCACACACTCAGACACATGATGATGACAAGGTTAAAGTCATCTCATGACACATTGCTTTCTGATCCACAAATCAGAGCTCCTGTATCTGAGCAAGGTGTGGTTTCTGAGGTTGGTGGCGAAAACCCCTTTACATGTCAAATTCTGATTTGTCAGTAAATCAAAATATGGCAATTATTAAAACAGAACTCACTTCCTCGTGAGTTAGTTGAGCCGAACTCTGGACTGGCCACCGGAGGAAAACTCTTCTCCCATCGCATCTTTGACAAGCTGTCAAAACCTGTTGCACACTACAGCTGACCGCAAACGGTTCCTTCAGAACAAAGCTGACACAGCTCCGACTCCTTAAGAGTGCTTCCATAGACGCAAACACTACCTGTTGTGACCTGGAGACAACTTGAAGACCGGTCTAGTGGTGCCGCAATTTCTCCTACGGACCTCGGTGCCTTGGAGTCCACGGACTTCGACACATTCCGGATCTACCCCGGGGGTCTCCGAAAGAAAGGGTACGTAGGCACGACAGATTGCGTCTGATGCCGTTTTATTAGAAATCAACTTTCTAGTTTAATGCAGACCAAATTCAATCCCACTCAGAACTCAGTTTCTTCAGATACGAAGGTTCTGATAACATCACATTCACACATCATCACACCTCAAATTCCATCCACTTAGAAGTTGTTTCCCAGTTGTCATGTTTTTAATTGTTTAGAAAATAAATTTACTTTTTATAAACCCAACTCTGTCTGAATTAATACAAAGTGTGTTACGATCCCTGAATAAACAAAGAATCCTAGTTCTTCTGGTTAAACATTCAAAGATCAATCAGGTTGATACTCTATATTTATATAGAATCACATCTTATTGATCATAATTAAAACCCAAAATACATCTGTAGTCAAATACTACAGACTCCAGATTTAAGTATTAAAAAAAAGGTAGATTATTGCTTCAACACCTTTAGTAAAACAAAACAAGCTGCACAAACAGCTGTGCTCATAAACCAATCCAACATTCTTTACAATTGCAGAATCAATTCTGGCCTTCCTGCCTAATAACTGTGGCTCGTCCCCTTTTGGACACATAATCATTAAGAGAAATCAAAATCAGATGAAATATCTTCAATAACCCTGTGGAGTGTTCAGACTGCCTCAAACAGCATTTAAACGTGACTCCTCTGCTCCAAACGACTGATAAAAAAAATAAAAACACACTATAAGAAGCAGCATTGTAACTAAACATCTAAGCTAGTTTCTGAACATTTTGTAGCGCTAGAATATTATTTAAGGCACACATTCCTTTAGGAATAACATAAAATGCTTCTGGACATAATGTTGGAGACGGTCTGGCTGCAACAGTTGGCAGCGTGGCCGTGCCCTCAAACAGATTACATTTGCTTATTCTGCGATGGAGCAAACAAGCACGATGGAAGTCAACTGAAAAGCCAAAATGAATGCACAAGGATGTGGTTTAAAATAATCCCCCTGGCATAATCTCACATGCTAAATTTTTACCTGCAGATAAAAGAGAGCAAGATGAGAGAAATTGCATGAAATAATCAGCCGGACGCCACGGCAGACCCATCAGATCGGAGCTTTTGATGCTATAATTCAGTTGGGCTGCATGATTTTGAGAAATGCTTTTCAAAGTGCACTCAAATCTGGCCTGCTGTGGGGATTTTATCTGAGTAGGACCACAATCTGATCTTCTCCAAGCAACCCAAAAAACAAAACAGGGATAAATCTGTGCCATAACTGCATGAGAAAAGTACAAGATAAGTATCTTTTGCTGATATGATAGAAAGTTTATATGTTTTCAAAGCCATTTATGAATAGACAACGGTTTTAAAAGTTGCTAAGATTCAATGCCAAAAGAAATTGAAATAGATTTAATGAACGGAGCTAAACTTAGTTAACATGGTGCAGCAATAAAGCTCAAAGGAACGTCACATTCTGAATTTATATGGGTTTAAAAGCTGATAACGTCTTAATGTGGCTGTAATAACGTATTTTTTCTGTCACCAAGCTGTAAAAACATTTATTGCTGGGCGACAGAGTTAATAAAAACATTTATTTTGCAGTTTTTCCTGCTGCATTATTTTAAGCAGGCAATAATTCTGCTAAAGTATTTCAGGAAGGTTTTCACAGCTAACCTCAGAGGCCTCATTGAAACAAAACAGGGTGGAAATGAAAACCAATTCATAACAGAAGTCCTTGTGGAATTATTCTCCTCATGCAGACCGGAATGTAAATAGTCACTGGTGCGTGTGTGTGTGTGTGCGTGTGCGTGTGCGCGTGTGTGTGTGTGTGTGTGTGTGTGTGTGTGTGTGTGTGTGTGTGTGTGTGTGTGCGTGCGTGCGTGCGTGCGTGTGAGACAATTACACCAAGGTAAACATCCAGTTTGGTGTGTGTGATGGGACTTGCAGAGGACAGAAAGTCCTTGTCGTCTGCACACACTGGGACACATTCCTGCATAAAGGTATGGGGTCTATTATAAATGCACAAACCTTCTCAATCATCTCCCGGCCAACTGCCTCCTTCCTCCTTTCCTTTAGAGCTGAATCAGATATAATCCACCACATATGCTACTTTTTAAAGTGACAATGTGTAGTTTTTACCATAAATCTCTAGAAATATTCATGGAAATGTAGTTGTAAATGAATTAAAAGATGCCAAACTGTTGAAAAATATTGGCAGTTTCCAAACATTTAGCCATAAAAATCATGTCTAAAATATTTGGGAGCGGGTCTATTGGGCCATTCCCATCTGTACCGGGTCGGCCCGGGCCGGGTAGCGTAGGTTGTTTACATATCTGGGTGGCCTGGTATTTTTCCGGGCCAACCAAGGCTCATTCTCAGCCCTCTTCTCGAGGGGGTCTGCTTCAGGCCGACCAGGGCCAACACACCCACTGCTGACAGCAAATTCACACCTTCCATTAGAGCAAGCCTCTGATTGGTGGGTAGAATCAGCCCACATGGGCTTAAGACAAGGATGTGTGGAATCAACCGGGTCAGGCTTGGGCCGACTGGGGCTACCCGGCCCGGGCCGACCCGGTACAGATGGGAATGGCCCATAAGTCTCAGGGCGACGCCATATTAGATGCCATGTTTCCTTCTACGGGAGCTCAGGAGGACAAAATGCATTTAT